AACAATCAAATCAGAGCGCTATCAGCCCACCCCATTATCCTTTGATCCGCGCGTACTCGCTTGCTCGCTCGCTCGTTCATGGGGCGGCAAACACTCCTGATTACCCACCCTCTGTGTTTAAACAGCCTCAAACTCTCGCGAATTTCATGTTTAACGGATGGGCAGGATCCCAGACGCTAGCTCGCTAGAAATTTCCTCCATTATATACTATATATACTTCGAGCGATATCCTATATTTTCAAGTTTTCTATTGATCGAAAACAATTTTTTTTGGTACACAGAAAAAGATTTATTTCAGAAGACCCAATAAATGGATTGCTAAATACAACCAAACGTTTCTTTAATTAAAATAAATATTTCCTTGGAATATTTTTATTTCAATAAACCAAATACTTTACTGCGTTGAACTAAATATTTTTGTTCTCTTATTGTGACAAAAATTTAATTTAGTTTTTTCCTGACGTTTCCTTGATTTACAGATAGAATTTTTCTTTTTTCCCTGACCCTGAACAATATTCTGATTCACTCTGAAAATGATTAGCTATACAAAAAAATATTTCTAATACATTTATTTGCGAATATCTTTCATTATAAAATTATTCACAGTTTTCTTGGAAGTATCAAATTGAGGCCTTGGATCCAATAACTCGCCCGACGCTCGGAGGAACGCGCAACTGCCAGTCAGTAAGCAGTGAGCGCCTCTGGGCCACTCACTGCTACCCGACTGGTATTAGCGCGTGCCTTCGAGCGTCGGGCGAGTTATTGGATCCAAGGCCTCAATTGATACCAATGTGCATAAAATTAATACCAAAAATTTGGAGCAATTTGATCCACATTTTTGGTATCAATTCGCTGCTATTTGATACTTTCAAAATAACAGTGTTCACATAATTTTTTTTATAAATAGTGAATCCTTATTATTATTTTTCCATGGAAATTAAGAATTTTAAAAATTTCAAATTCAATTTTGGAGAAATTACAAATAATTGCAGAAATTCAATTATTTTCAGAAAAGAAATAAAATTCAACTTATGTTCAAAATTTGAAAAAAATTCTTGTAAAAATCCCAATTATCTTTATAAATAACAAAATTCTTCTCCAAAGTTCGATTATTTTCATAAATATCAAAAAAATTATTGTCCTTATTTCAATTATTTTTAAAAATTTTCTAATTTCAATGATTTTCAATATCTAAGATTTTAATAAAATTTCCCAAAACGAATTCAATATAATTTTAAAAAAATTCTAATAAAATTGTATGTAAACATTTAATTATTTTCATAAATAATAAAATTTTTTTAAGGAACTCGGAGCAATCGATATCTTCATGTTTTATAACAATACTTTTATAAATTGTTTAATTTAAAAAACGTTTGAATATGAAATTTTTGAATGTCTTAATTGGAAAATCCTGTTCCAAGAATAAGATTAAAAATAGGAATTTTGCAAATATTGTTCTTTTTCTAAAACAAAATAATAATTTGAGTCAAGTTTGCGGCTCGAGCGTAGCGAGAGCAGCAATCACTCGAGAAAAATCCTTCTTTCACCACGAGTTGTGCACTACGTTTTCTCCAACGCCTTGCGAGGAAAGGTTTCTTCGTGAGTTTCGTATAATTTTAATTTAACGTGTGCTTATGTTTAATATAATAAAAAAAGAATGTTTTGAGTAGGGAAGAAGTTAGATACAAAATAAATCTCGGTCAAAGAACAAGAAAAAAGAATAAATTCATGATTTACTTTCGCCACGCCAAATTTACTTTCGCCTCTTCAGAGCAGTTGAGAAAAGTTCTACTTTCGCCACACTTTTCTACCAAGAAAAGTACTCCTTTCAGAGCAAGTGTTGGAGAAAATATATTTTCTATTTCTTAATCACAGTTGTTTAACAATTTTCTAATTTTGTTTAGAAGTAAAGAACAAAAATCTGCATAATTTCAATTTGACAAAACATAATATTTAACAAAACTTTAGTTTTTTAATGAAAAGAAGTGAAAAAAATTCTGATGATTTCTATTTGTCATTACCAATTTTGAATTAATTATAAAATAAAAATAATGATAACATAATATATAATATACAAACTATCTAAAGATAACAAAAAACAAATGTATAAACAAAAGACAACTTCAGAGTGTGAGGGACAGAAAAAGTGAAAGAATGAAAGAACATTCAAATTATTGTAGTTAATAGTTAATTAATTCCAGTTGATTTTTTTAATTGATTCAGTTTAACTAATTTCTCAGTTTGACTGAGAATCAGTGACTCTATTCTCGCGATTTGAATCAGTCAAATTTCATTCAAGATCAGTTAAAAATGATTGAAATTTCAGTCATTTTTCACTGATTGGTCAATTAAAAAATAACTGAACAACATCGAAAGTTTCCAAAAGTGCGAAGCCCTTTAACGTATTTAAAATATATAGGAATTCAACAAGGTCTTTGTCAGAAAACAAATTTTTATTTCCCAATTTCACAATCGAATTTTAAGACCAATTTTTAAAAGTCCAACATGAGATCGAGACTTTTCAAGGGATTTCGAAGAACATCAGACGCTTGCGGTGAAAACTTATATATATGCATCACATAAACAGCAACAACTTAACCAAAATTCAAACAGTAAAATATATCTTTACCAACTTCTTTTTGCATTCGTTCAAAATACAATAAAGCTGAAGATAAAAAAGAAACTAAAATTCATGTAAAATTTCTATATTACGAAGAACTTATAACCACTTCTGTAAAGAGCAACCACAAACTCCACACCTGCGGCACGTGGTCGGAAGTAACGCTAGGATTATCAGCAGTAACACACGTGGCGGTACCAAATCGCACATGCATGAAAGATATAGAGTATATATATATTAGGTAAAAAAAAACCTATCCCTGATGGTCTATGCAGGCGTGAGGGATGAGAAGAACCGATAAGTCATATATTGTATATAAAAGCAATGTTCAAGCTATAAAAATATACAGCGATTTGCAAAATTCCCTTTCCCGTGAGTATCGATTTCATGTGCGGTTACTCCCAAGTATATACACATTTCGAGTTTACAAATGCCCTCCAAACCACTAACCCCTTTCGCTATATTTGACCAACTTCCCCTAAACTGCGCTAATTTTCGTTGTTGATCTAATCCTTTGAACTAATCCCTTTAAAACGTTTCCTAAATAGAAAATGGGTGAGAACGAACTGTACCCATCAGGGGAGTTCCAATTTCCGTATAAATACGAAAGACTTTTTAAAATTATTCGAGTCACTCGAAGTATTTTAAGGCCATCTTATTCTTTATTCAATTAATTACTGTGTTAATGAACTACTGTATTAATTAATTACTATATTAATGAACTACTGTATTATTTAATTACTACATTAATGAACTATGTTATTAACTAAGTTCTTTATTAATTATCTATTGTATTAATTATACTTTATTAATTAACCACTGTATTAATTATACAGCTAGTATTATTAAATCTACATTCTTTCTTTATGATCTTTAACTATAAACCCTATTTGATCAAAATAAATAAATTAATTTAAAAAATTCATAATTAAACTGAAAATTAGTTCAAGTAAATATTTCTTTAATACGTTGTAACTACAACCGATTATTTGAATCATATATATGAATTTCTTTTTTATAGCATACAATATATACTCGTCAAAGACATCTTTTGTATATCGAGAAACCTAGTTTCTGGAATTTGAATTTCAACGGATCTGATTCCTTTGAGTAATTCAAGTAATCAGAGAAATAGCGGATTGCAATTTCGAGGACGACCTCACTTTGGCAGATATGTTTGCGTCGTGAACTCTGAGTTCGATCGAAGTGTAACGGGCCGTTGTCTTGGATGCGGGTACCTAAAAAGGAGGAGGGAGTTAGGATAAGCAAGTGGCATGAGGTATAGAAAAGTGGCAACTCCTCTACGGAACACCCCCTTCAAATTATCCAGCTGATTATCCTACTACTTTGCACAGTTACATTATTCATTCGATTTGTATACGCACTTTCTTTAAATCATCATTTTGAAAAAAACTTTTACATTCTCTTTGGAACTATAATTGCGTAACTTTCTCGGATGATTCTCCGAAAACAGAGATAGATCACTTACATGGAAAAACCATTTATAGATACAGCAAAAACTATTCTGAAATTTTAAAAACTGCGACGGATATATTGAATCAGCCATTTCCGAATTAAGTTAACAAATAAAGAGACAACTAGGCCTTTTAATGCTGATCTAAGAAGTGGAATGATAACCAAAGGTCCGAGTTGATAACTTCCTCAGTCGGGATAATGTGTTGATACTATTGCGATATGTATAAAAGAATCATCAAAACATCGCAAATTCCCTCCCTACATTTGCACCATACACAAAAGCATCAAAAGTTTATTCCTTAAAGAAATTTCGCCACAAAAGATTATATATGATAGATTCACAAACATAAAAGTTAAATTAAGCAGAAAGATTCAGGTGTCGAAATATCCGTAATACATCATTTTTAGATCAACAAATTTTTGAAATCTTTGAATCCTCTATCAATATATATGACTGATTTTTAACAGATTTCTTTCTCACAAGATTAAAACTCTTTATTTCTCTTCGATTGAAAACGAATTGGCCTTTTCTATTGCTAGAGGTGAATGACACCAGACGAAAATCCGAAAAATTTCTCAAGGGTCGACATGTCTCCCACGCAAGAGTAAACAAAGGGGCTGCTCCGACTTATGATGTACGACCCAAGAAAACGAAAAGAGAAAAAGAGAGAGAGAAAGCAAAAAAAAGTGAATTTCGATTGTGCAGCATTCATTTTATTGACAGAAACTACAAACACCTATCTCAAGGATTTGAGGGTGGCTCGAACGATTAGACACCCTTGAATAAGTATCACTGCGATTGGTTGAACTTAGCCACTCCCGTAGGCGGTCCTTATGAACACCGATCGAGGGAGCACAACAAGCCATCAACGTGCTCTCATACCATTTCACAAGTTGATAGTCAGTCTACGTCGCGACTCTGAGTCGCACGCAAGCGCGAGTCTATATATAAACTATTCGTCCTTTAATTCTTCCTAAGTCTCCAAGGATCAAACTATTTTTCAAATACCCAGTAATCATTTTAAATAAAAAATTAAATCCTGCTACTAAAAAATCAATCAGTTTCGTGATAAATAAAACGTGAATTAAAAACTAGTTAGTGAACATGATACAGATTTTAGGGTAGTTTTGTTCAAATTTTGTGTGATAGATGATTGAACTATCTAATTGCTAGTCAAGTGAAGTGTTTTACCATAGGACCAAAGAATTACACCTAAAAAGGACTGTGATAAATCCTGCCACTGGTGTTACTGAGCGAAGAGTCTAGTGATCTTTCTTCCAGGAGCTTCGACTATGGTGGTATTGTAAGTATTAACAATCTATTAAAAATTACCTAAAATCGAATGACAATAAAAATTGGACAAATTTGGAATTTATTTTTAAAAAAAAGCTGTTTTACTTTTGACTACTAAGCTTACTTCTGCATGTGTTTATAAAAAAAATTCTAGCAACTTCTTTACAGAGAATTCTTAGCAAAATGGAACATGTCATTAATTAACGAGATTAACTGATCTTAATTGGACGTAGAAGATTGGCTATACAATGTTTCGCAATTTCTCTGCTTCTGAAGAATAATCGAATCTAACAGAAATCGAAAACAATTATATACTAACAATAGCTATTCTTTCTAAGGCTCTAACACTTCTAGAAGTTACCATCTGCAGCAATTAAAACTGCTATTTTATTTTTTTGAACCTAGGTTCTTTGAATTGTAACAGAATTCCAAATCTACTTTTGAAAATCCGTTAAAGGATTATTCGATAAACAGATCCTAATAAAATTGAAAATCGATTTCAACATGCGATTTCTACTAAATTGTATCATAAATATTTGTTAATAAATGAACGAAAATAGTTTACCAACAAGTAAAGAACAGAAATAAACTTCAAATACACTAAATGATTAGCAAATTTAGAAAATTAGCAATAGGCTAATTGGGTGTTTCCTGAAACAATCGACTACTTCCTGAAGCATTAAAAAGATACTCTTTATATATACTATACAATGCTGAATATACGTGCGCTGGAAGATTAAAGAATCGATTTTTCTCCCCTTTTATAGTTTTCCCTGATACCTAATCAGTGGGCGTTGTACGACTTTCTCATTGGCGTGTGGGCGTTATCACCCAACCCCATTGGTCGATTGGGTTCCTAGGACCTAACAGCATTTATATATACATTATATTACAGAATTGGCATCGCGAGTCGTGTGCCTTTCCTGGAATTACCCATCGTCCTTGTTCGACAACTCCATATTTGATCTACAACAATTACGCTATTCACATATTCCTTATCAAATGACCTCCAAAATTATCCTTGTCCTGATAATTTTCCCCCTTCCAAAATTTACAATTTCTTCTACAAAAGAAGTTTCAAAAATTTCTTCTACAAAAGTATTTAATTTTTTTTCGATTTCTATAAGTAAACCTAAAAACAAACAAAATTTTACAAAATATTTCAAATCAATTAAAATCTTCGATTTCCTTGTCCTGATAATTCCTCCCCTTCCAACACACTTTTTCAATCCCTACTTTCTTCTACAAAAGTATTACCTGTCAAACAGATTCCCTGAAACAAAATTGAAGATGAATTATATTTTTGCATGTTTTCTTTATAATAAAAAATGTGGTCAGAATTCTGATTAAATTTACTTCAATTCCAGTTTAAAATAACTGTTTCTAATTAACAATCAGAATTCTAATTGGAATAACATGATTATTAGGAACCAGAAATTATGTGCAACGAATAAATATAGAGGGGGAGAAGAAGAAAATTCTGGCAACGAATAAAAAAGAAGATGATTCATACAAATTCCACTGTCACTATACTGATTATGGGAATGTTTTGATATAGATGAAAAGGAGGTCAAAAAACATTGATTATGTGCGCTGATTTGTATGTGAATTCGGTTAAGAATGTTTACCCTGCCATTGATCACACAGGGCGACACCTCGAAGACAGATTAAACGAATGTTCCGGTAAAACGATCCCCCTTTATCTTGAATCTTAAAACCGTGAAGAACTCTTTGAACCCACGCTCGCAGGACCCTTTATCTCCCCGCCGAATGGAAGCTGACAGTTTAACGGCTAGGACCGTCTCGAGTAATGACAATTATGAAATTATTTGATTTTCACCAACACATCCCTAAAAAGATCCCATGAACTTTAACCATTGACTCATAATTTATCTTTTTTCAATTTTAAAGAAAAATCCAATCTCTATTTTTCAACCCTTCATATTGTATAGATATAAATACAAAACAATAAATTTTACAACTAATTTTGTTTGAAAAAAATAAGTTTCCAAAAAAGAAGAAGCCGCAGAATATAAAGTTTTCGATTTCCTTTTACAATAATTATAATATACGAATCTGGTTAAAATATTGAATTTCTATTCCCTGCGGTAATCAAAACTCAATAATCGACTTGAAATAATAGAGATTATTGCAGCCCACGTTTAAATTTATTATAACACTTTGCGCATATACATTTGTCGCAGCAGTAGAACGAAGCAATTTTCAAAAAAATAAATTGTTAATGGTATACGAAAAGAAGGATATTGTGTATATATACATATATATATAGTAGAGACCCGTTAATCTGAACCTGATAACTATTCGTTTCCTTTTGAGATGACGTTCCGGACTCGAAGAATTAACTTGTCCAGAAACCTCTTTCCGTAATCTCGCGCGAAGATCCGAATAACCAGCAAAGGATTGGTTGCTATAATACCTTCGTATACGGTTTTTTGCTCACTCCTCGAGATATTTAATGTTTGAGTCGCGAACATATCTTCCATTTAATATCTAAAGTCACCAGGGCCGAAGTGTACGCGAGGAAAATTTATTTTAAAAAAAAGATAACTATCTAATCCGAGAATATAAATTCCAGTTGTGAACTCTATCGAAAAATCTTTTCCCATTCGGTTCCAATTTTCATAAACCGAAAAGAGCATTTACTTTATTAATTAACCTTTTTAATACTTCCATTATATAGTAAATTATTCTTTAATTAAAATTACGAAATAATCAAGAAGACTTCGAAACTAATTCTTCCAAATACGAATTATTGAAAAAATATAATCATAAATTGCTTTTCACCCTATTTGAAATCTACAAAAATTTGTTCTTTAAAAAATTTTGCTTATGCAGACTCAAAGTTTTGCGTAAGAAGAGAAGATAAAAAATAATCATTCAACAAAAATATTGACATAGTAATGAAACAATTTATAAGCATATATATATTCTTTGCACAGCCAGAAAATATTTATTCTTTTCGGTTTGAAAATTTGGAATCGGAACTTTTGGGTGAGGTTATTTATGGGGGACCAGCCCTGAAAGTGTGGCCCGTGCTCGTAGGTTCACCACGAGCCACGACTTAGGTGCTTGGAGGTAAATACTCGCGCTTTATAAACTATATACGAACAAGAGACGCGCGTGTGCGTGTACGCGTTCGTCTCTTGCTACAATCTTGGCTCAGCATCGCCGGCCGATGTATCATCTTACGCGGTGCTAAAGGCGATGACTTTATCACCGATCCGGGCAATCATTCAACCCGTTCAGTTTCCTTCTCTTTTCAAATACACTCTCCTTTCCTTCTCTTTTGGTCAAAGATATCCCCAGAGAGAGATAGAGAATTTGTATGTATACACTGCGATGACATTTTAGCAAATGTTTACTTCAATCTAATTTAATTTTTACCAAATTCCAAAGGAATATACAAAAAGAGAGAAGAAAAAGGGTAAATTTGAAAAATGTTACAGTTTTTTAAATTCTTTGTCGCTTTTGAATTATACAGTATAAATTTTAATAATAAAGGACAAAAATTGACTTCAATTTTTAAATTTCATATGAATTCTTAATTGTTTATCGTTAATACACAGATCTAAATCAATGAAAATTTCAATTTAGTAGCCTTTTTCTTATGAATCGTCAAACATCATCATCTTCGATGATTCATGAATTAAATTTTACTGATCCTCATAGTGAATTAAAACCATGTTTTTATTGGTTTAGTATATAGGTTTAAAGTAATTCTTTTTATAAATTTAATTGCCACTTGGTAAACACTCATCGCATTTGGATCCAGAGAAGTCAATAACATAATAAAAATGACAAAAGTCAAATATTTAATAATTTTTATAATTATAAATAAAGACTTGCCGGTAATCATGTTTTCCTGTCTGTACCAACAAAAAGGTCAGCAAAGAATTTTAAAGGATGAGAAAACTTCTAGTAAAACATTTGTTAATAATTATCTATATAGGAAAGAAATATTTCTGCTCTCTAAATTTGAATTAGTAAAAATGTTTAATAATTTGAATCAGTGACTGACTTTTTGCTTTTGAATTAGTAAATTTTACTAATAAATAATAATTTCTACTAATTTATTATAATAATTTCTAAATAAATAATAATACTTTCTTCTAATTTATTATAGTATTCTCTAAATAAATAATAGTACTTTCTACTAATTTATTAGTAAAATTTTTCTAAGTGAAAAAAAAGTAAATTTTACTAAAAAAATTAGTAAAAAATAATTGACTAATAGTAAAATTTACTAATTTGAATTAGGGTCTGAATTTTTGCTTTTGAATTAATAAATTTTACTATAATAAATAGTAATTTTCTACTAATTTTTTTAATAAAACAAAATTTACTAACTCAAAGCAAAAAGTCAATCACTATTATAATTCAAATTTAGAGAGTAAAAATTTAGTTTGTGCTAAAAAATACTGTATAAAAGTTTCAGGAAGATTTTTTTTTCAATTACAGAAATACGACTTTTAACAAACAGTTTTTATTATTTATGAAATTGCTTATTGCTAAACAATTAATAATTCTGCGATTAGAATGAAAAAATTAAAAAAATTACACTCAGAGAAATGTTTTATTTAAATTAAGTAATAATATACTTGAGTTAAATAAATTTATTTATGCCACAGTCATACTAATCTTTCTACTCCCAGAGGAAAATTTTATTTAAACCAAATATAATTTTTTTAAATTAAACAAATTGTATTTAAATAAAATAAAATTTATTTGACACAAATAAAAAATGTAGGCCAACTTAATTATTTCTTTTTCAAATAAATTTTATTTGTCCTAAATAAAATTTTTATTTAAAACAAATAATTTCGTACGCTTTGTAAAAGAATATAATTATACTTTTACTTGACTCAGATGAATTATATTTGTTTTAAATTATACTTTAATTTAATTTTTAGTTTGATGTTAAAAAATTTTTGTATCTATATGTAGTTATAGAACTTTTTATCAGCAAACTGAAAAAATGAAATTAATTATTTACGCATACGTAAATAGAATATTAAAATCCTCTTTAACTATATTTCTAAGAACTATTAGTCGAAAATAATGAAGGTTATAAATTGTGATTACTAAAAATTTTGTGCTATGAAATTCTTTTTTTTTCGACTTTCAAAGCAGAGTCTAGACCTCGAGGACGAGGAGGTGTATAGAGACGATGAAAAATTTTGCGAGTAGGTGTCTGAAGATCGTAAACGTCCGAGTTCTCGCGCGATTCTATAAAATGCAAAAAGGACGTGTAACTCGCGAATATTGTGGTCCCGAATGATCGTGGGTTGAAGTTCAATTTTTTTCACATCGACCTAGACAAAGGGCATCACAAAATAATCTCCTATACTGGAAAAATCCAGATTTTTCTTCAAACTATATATACTTTTGATTTTGTACAAAAAATGATATAGAAGAGGATATATTGTCAAGAAAAGTATTGAAAAGACTAATATAAAAAGGAGAAGAAGAAGTAGTATTTGAAAAATTTTTTCAAGGAAAAAGCATTGAAATTATTTGAAAAATACGAAAACTTTTCTTAAATATACACTCAATGGAAACTGCGCCCCATCGTTAATCTTTCTCTCCCGGGCAGGTTGAAAACGATTTCGGGTGGGCGTTTTTCCATCTGCATGCCATTCATAATGGTCAATGACTTTTGTCAAGAGTAATGTTTATGTACACAAAATTTTTGACCCTACTTGACCACAAAAGGACTCCTAATTCTAATCAACACTTTTACATTTTTGCAATCAATCGCACATTTCCCTATACAGCTTTCAACGTTCGAATGAACGAAATACTTTTTTGAACCTATAAGAATTTTTTAAAATTACGAACCAGAAATGAAAAATATTATATTGTAATTGAACATTTACTTAAAAATAAATTTTCTAATTATAAAAAAAGCAATAAGTGACGCACAACGCACTCTGTACATCACCTGAGAAGCAAATTATTTGAAGGTTATGTTTGTGTTCTTTTACCTTCATTAAAATTTTCTGCCTTTAATTTAAAACTAAAATCAGTTTTTATTAATTAAATGATATGTATAATGAAGACTTAAACATCAATGGTTTTTAAAAATTAATTCCTTTTGTGTATTTTCATTCCTAAAATTGCAGACATAACATCAAATTTTTTGCTTCTATTCACCTTTTTCTTCAGAGCGCGTCACATATTTTGCAATAAAATTCAAATTCAAAAAGTAATAAAAATATCAAACAGAAAATCAAAAGCACAGCTTCGATTTTAATTGGATTTTTAATTAAAAGCAACAAAATGTTTTTGGAATAAATTTTGTATACAAATGAGCGAAAGTATAGTGTCATCGGCGAAAACTAACAGAATATAATGTAATGAATAAACTTTTGACAGAAGTAGAGGGAGAAATTGATTTTTATCAATTATTCTCGCGCCATTCGGTCAATTGATCTGGTATCATTGTCCGAATACGCGAATCTGGTGACTACAAGAATTCCGGGAAGTTGGCGAACATCTTGTCAGGCCACCCACGAGCACCCATAAGTATAATACAAGGTACGACCGGTGCGTACCATAAATCGGGATTTTATCTCGATTCCTGCGCGCGACACGTCGTAAGTGATTGCGCAATGTTAAATTAGACCTTCGTTTATATATTAAGTCCTTCAATTGCAAAAATCACTGCGCGAATTTCATTCCAATTTTATAACTTTGCCGAGAAGCTCATAACGTTTATCATCAAGGATGATGATTTATACCAATTTTTCCAAGCAAATTTTTATAAACTTTTGTATGCAACAAAGAGTTTTTTCTAAAAATTTTAGACAAAATGACTTATTTTTTTCTGGGAAATATTTATTTTGAATCGTTTATTATAAAGGTTGTGAATTTTCATGATATGTATTTTATGAACAAAAATTTTGACTTTTTCATCAATAGTTTTATTTAAATTAGGAAATATTCAATCATTATTATTTTTCCATATGTATTAAGATCAAAATTATTTTCATCATTTCAATTCAATTATTTTCTAGAATTTTTAACTAAAATTCTTTTTTCAATCAATTATTTTTAATACTTTTGGAAAAAATTCTTTAAGAATTTTCAAATCCATTTGTTTACAATTCAATTTTACAAAATTTTGATTATTTAAAAATTCTTCAATTAAATATATATTAGAAAATAAAAACTTGAAATTCAAAATTGAATTCTTATAACACTGTGCGACACATTTTTCTTTCCCGGTGCGCTCTAGTGCTAAATGATAGTACAAATAAACAGTAATTTAACCCTCCAAGGATTTTTGAAATGTAGCTCAAATTTATTTTTTATAAACCTTTGAACTTATGGTCATTTTTGTGAAATTTTCAAAAATTTTCAATCTTTTGCTATATTTAAGTAGAAATATGAATTAAGTAATGAGTAAAATATAAGTATTAAATAAATTCTAATTAAAAAGGTGTAATTATAGTACTTAATTGGAAAAGTGTTTATAAAAGCTAATTTATCGAATTTTTCTGTATTTTTTAAACAATTTTTTTATAACCATAATGTAAATAAATAATAATATTTAAATTGTTTAACAATTTTTCCAAGAAAAAAATATTCAAAACCATTTTTTTAACAATCTATTTTTAAAATTATATATCACAAAAGGTGCAAGATTTTTTAAAAATATCACAAATTGTAACATGAACTTTAAAATTTCATAAAAATATGAAATGAACTAAGTTTGCAAAATCCTTTTGGGGTTTCATTATTGCATACATCTACTTCAATTTAAGCCTACACTTATTTGGGAAAGAAACAATAAACCGAAAATTGTTGCACAGTGTAATAAGAGTTTAATTTACAAATTTTTAAATAATTGAATTCTTTTGACGAATTTTAATAAAATTGTTAAGAGTTTTTCGAGGAATTCGATTAAAATTGTATTAAAAATAATTGAAATTCTGCGATGAGTTTTATTATATTTATGTAAATAATTGAATTTCTAAAAATAATTTTATTATTTATGAAAATTATTGCGAAGAAATTTATAAACAATTTCTAAATAATTGAATTCCTGTTAAATTTTTTATTATTTATGAAAATAATTAAATGTAGAATTTTATTAAATTTTTTTTTAAATAATTGAATTCCTTTGCGAAAAATTTTGTTAAAATAGTAAGTATAGGTATTAAAAAGCATTGAATCGGGGCAAATTGTTGGAAATAATTGAAATTTTACTAAAAATTTTATTAAAATTTTTGAAAACAATTGAATTTTTGCCAAGAATTTTATTGAAATTTTTGAAAATAATTGAATTTTATTATTTATAAAGATAATTGAAATTTTGACAAGAAAGATTGAAAGAAACAGAAAATAATACAATTTTTCGTTCATAAATTTCTCTCTTCTTAATTAAAATTTATTATTATCTATTTTTTATTTTTTCAAGAAATAAAAACTGCATAATTCATTTTTTAATACCTAAAAATTTAAGTTTTTAAATAAAAAACATAAATAGGTACTATTATACTGTTTTCATATTTTCTACACCCAGAGAAAAATTTTTAATCATTTGTTTTAAATAAAAATTTTATTGCAAATAAATAAAACTTGAATTTGGTCCAAATAAAATTTTATTAATTTCTAACAAAATAAAATTTATTTGAAACAAATAAGAAGTCTAGTTGACTTCGGGTCAAATATATCTTTTTTTGGGTGTACAATAAATTATATTTTACAAAAATTGTTTAATAAAACAATATTCAAATTGAAAACATACATCGGCGAATTATTAACAGAAGTAAACAAATTAAAATAATAAATTATGAAAATACTTTTCAAATTTTCAATAATGATGAATGTATCATAAAATAAATTCTCTTTTGCATAAAATTTATCGCTGACAGTCATTCCTTGAAATTCAATTTTTCAAGTTTAATTTAACAAATTGAATTTTACAAGTTGAATTTAACCAATTTAATTTTTCGAGTTTAATTTAACAAATTGAATTTTTCGAGTTTAATTTAACAAATCGGATTGTTCAAATTCAATTTAACAAATTGATTTTTTCGAATTAAAATTTTCAAATAAGATGTGACGAAGACATATTGAACTTATTACAAGTGATATTTTCTCGATATTCTGTGTATATATATGCAATCAATGAAATTAATGATGAATCTTCGAGAGGTATGATGATGAAGAAGAAGAAGAAGAAAAGAGGAGGAGGAGGAGAAAATTTAGATTCGTAAAACGCTCCAGGTGGCTCTTGTTTCGCGCCCCGGTAAACTTTCCATTTACGTGGCGCATCTCGAACCGTTTACCGTCGCCCACCGCGTGTCAATTAAATTTTGAATAATAATTTGTTGCTTATGTATGTATATACAAACGCATTGCGCGACTTTTTGCCCGGTAGGCGTCCCCCCTTTCCTCTCCCCATAGGAATAAATCTTGTGCGTGTGTTTGAAGCGAAACACAAACACACACATTTCTTTTCCTTCGTTCGAATATGGATTGTCTGGCGCGCGTGAAACTCGACGAAAATAATATTAATGTCTTTACACGAATGCCAATTAGTTTTGTCAGTGGAAATCGATGTATCCCATTCGTATTCTCTTAAACGAATTTCAAACTCTCACTTTATTCCCGATGTATGCGCAAAATTATCAATTCACCCATGGAAAAAAGAATTTTTACAAAAAATATTATTTTTTAATTACAATCAATTTAAAATTTTACTAAGAGTTCAGGAATTTCAAAAAAATAATTTTATGAATTTTAAAAAAATGATATGAATTTTAAGAAAATAAAAGAAGAATGATTTTAGAAATTTGAATTTTCAAATTTGTCCAATTGATGAAAAATGGTATTAAAAAGAAATTTTCGAAAATTTCAAATAATTTTAAAGGGAAAAATTTTTAATTTTCTTTTTTAACTTTATAGGAGCCGTGTGGGTTCGCCGACAATGTCAGCGACTGTTGCCGGTACTCAGCAACAGCAACATCCTCATCAAGAGTGGGATATCAATGATCCAAATGTCCCCAGGGTGAGATATTTTATAAAGGATAATTTTATTTTTCTAAAATTAAAACCATTTTAGATTTATGTCTCTCTAGTTCATTTTTCAACCACAAAGAATATAGAAAAAAATGAAAAAAGATTTTTTCGAAGATCAAATTATCTATATTTCCAGAAAAAATTCTTATTTGAATTGAATATAATTTACTTAAGTTAAATAATAGTCTTATTTGTCTCAGAGAGTTATTTATTTCACCGATATTTTTAACTATAACAAGAAAATATTTTAAATAGTCAATAAAATTTATTTTTGGTACTTTTTTTTGAGAAATTCAATGATCATGAAATAAAAATAAGTCAAAAAAATATTTTGAGCCTTTTTGAAATTTTATTTATCCTAAAAAAATTAGTAGACTTTGAAGTTAATGCTTAATTTTGAAGAAAATTTATATTTTTATTTAAAAAGAATTGATAAATAAAAAATTTGATTTATAAAATTGTTTTTAGGCTAAAAATACTAAAAATACTATTGTTATTCACTAATTTCAAATAATAACATTTTCATAAACAAATATAAATTACCTAGTATGTCTTATAATTAATTATTACAAATAATAAATAATAATTAAACTTAACAAACATTTACAGGGTTGCCACAAAAAATTAATTTTGTTTTTCCCTGATTTCCAGACAAAATTTTGACTTTTCCCCTGACCATAAAGAATATTTTGATTTACTCTAAAAATTAAATTACGAATTTCTCTAATTGTAAAATTATACAAAAACATCAATAGTTTTATTTAAAATAAATATTTAATCATTATTTTTCCATATAGGAAATTCAATAACTCTTTAGAATATTATTATAAAACATGAAGAAATGAATCACTCCGAGTCGAAGACTCGGAGTGATGGATGTCTTCATGTTTTATAATAATTTAAATTTCCATGTATATATTTATTGTACTCTCCCTGCTACAATCATGCAGGGTTCGAGGATTATTTAAAAAATGTAATAAAATTCATTGTAAGAATTCAATTATTTTCATAAATAATAAAATTCATTGTAAGAATTCAATTATTTTCATAAATAATAAAATTCTTCACAGGATTTCAATTATTTTTAATTCAATTTTAAATAAATTCCTCGAAAAATGTAATTATTTTCAAAAATTTTTTGCAAGAATTCAATTACATTTCACAAATAAATTAAATTCTTCGCTGAAATTAAAATATTCTTAAAATCTACTATTTTAATAAAATTTCTCAAAAGAATTCAATTATTTAAAAAAAATGTAATAAAATTCGTTGCAAGAATTCAATTATTTTCATGAGTAATAAAATTCTTCACAGGATTTCAATTATTTAAAAGAAATGTACGTCACTTGACGAGACCTGACTGTAATTATTTTAAAAATGTTATTACAATTCTTCGAAAAAAATAAATTAACAATTATCACTTATTTTTAATAATTTTTGCAAAAGTTCCTAGAGAATTTTCAAATCTATTTGTTTGCAATTCAATTTTACGAAATTCTACGAGAATTCAATTATTTAAAGACAAAAATAAGTAAATAAATAATTAAATTAAAAAAAATTTAAATATTTCTTCAAATCATAAAATTGTTTTTTCAAAAAAAAACTTCTACAATAGTAAAAAATTAAATTTTTCATTTACACATTTTTTCGTGTGTACAAAAAATATATTTTGTACAAAATTACGCATTAATTTCAAAGTCTTCATGTTTTTAAAAAAAATAAACATTCAAAAGGAGTCGAAACATTTTCCGACCCACTTTATTTTGAATTCTTCACAAAATTACTATTATAAAAGTAATTTTATGGAATATTCAAAATATTTTCTTGATGTAGTTAAAAATTTCGGTTATAAAAATAAATAAAATTTTTATTCAATTTTTATTAAATTTGAAACAAAAGTTATTTAAAACAAATAAAAATTTAGTCTAGAGTTTGATTCAAATATTTTTTTTTCTGTATGTATAAATGTATTGAAATTGAAATATCTAAACTTATATCTATTCTAGTACTTTCTCTTGTGACGAGAATGTAAAAAAATATAATAAAAATACTAAAAATAAAATAAAGATTTCGAATCTTTGAGATAATTTTAGCAAAAACTAAGACAACATGGTTAATAAATGATAATTTAAATTCAAGGTCATTGAGTATGATCCATGGTGCGAGTGGGCTGACGGTCACGTGAGACGAGTCTATGGTCCAGATTGCGAAGAAGCGAGAAGACACGCTTCCGGCTGGGCAATGAGAAATACGAACAATCACAATGTGAGCATCCTCAAGAAATCATGCCTAGGAGTTCTAGTTTGTTCGCAAAGTTGCATTCTCCCTGGAGGCAACAGAGTACATCTTCGACCTGCAATTTGTGACAAGGTACGAAGCATTTACGATCCTCTTGTTAAGATCTCATCATTATCATCATCATCTTGCCCCTCAGCATTATATTATACAAGTGCGTTGACTCTTACTGATAAAGAAATACTAATTTACTTCACTCCAAACTGGTTGTACAAATATCATCATCTTTCCCTACGAAACAAGATCACGCATTAGAGATAAAAATAATTTCAGAGACACATCTTCTTTTTTCCATTGCAATATAGGCAAGAAAATGAAATTCAATCAAACCAATTCAAGCGCAAAGTATAAAAATTAAAAGCGAGTAGAAAAGAAGCAAAAGATTTGAAGATTAATTGAGAAATTATTTTAATTTTAGGCGAGGAAGAAGCAACAGGGAAAACCTTGTCCAAATAGACAATGTACAGGAAGACTGGAAATTCTTTCATGTCGTGGACATTGCGGTTATCCAGTAACTCATTTCTGGAGACATACGGAGCATGCAATATTTTTTCAAGCCAAAGGACAACATGATCATCCAAAACCAGAAGCGAAATCAACTTCAGAAGCGAGAAGAAGTGTTGGTGCTGGTAGAAGAGTGAGGGGTTTAGCTGTTATGTTAGCGAGAGAAGCAGCTTTGGGCACGAAGGTAAAAAGAATTTTAATAATTAACCGAGAAATTACGCCAAGAAGAAATAAAACTTTATTGGAATATAAATTTATATTTTGAATTATAATTTATAATTGTAAAATTATTATTTCCGATTGTAATTATCAATTATAATTCTTGAAAAATTGATATTTTTATTTTAATTAATAATTATTATTACAGATAATGTCCTTGAGAGGTACAAAGAGGCCGAGCTCAGAGCCAATGGAAATACCAAGAACACCTCAGCCTCCTCCTCTTATTTCTAATAAAGGTTAGTATATTTTTTAAAGTATATAATTGTATTTTAATTTGTTGCCAATTTAAACCCCTTGCAAATATTTATGTAATCTTTATGTTTAATTGAAATTAAATTCAATTCTTTTGTAATTTATAAATTTATAAATGTAAATTTGTAAATCAAATTAAATTAAAACACATGAAAATATTTTTAACACGAATTATATGTACATACAGAGGTTAAATTAAGAAAATTTGTTTCTTCATTCTATATTTTTCAATTTTACTTATCTGATTTAATTTATATATCGCCTAATTGTTTTAAAAAAATTTTAATAAATATTTTTTTAACATTTAATTAATAAATTTTTAATCAACCAATTTATTTATTTATAAAAATATAATAAATAATAGTAGTAAAATATAATAATACTATAAGAAAATAATAAAAATAATTGAATATTTAATACTTTAAAATGTAATTTTAAATATATATTCTAAACGTATAAATTTGTGTATCCATTTTTAAGTAAAGAAATTAAGACATATACGCTCGCGTGTCTATTATAAAAACCAATTATATAGTGAAAATTTAAAACATTTTATGAAATTTAACAATAATGCTAAAAATGTTCAAGTTTTTCTAACAAAATTTAAAAATGATAAAACATAACCTCCTAAAATTATGAATAAAATTCAACGAATATAAATTTATTTGCTAATATGTTTATATCAACAAATAATAAATAGGCATGTTTCATTTTTTAATATAAATAAATATAATTCGGATTACATAAAATTATTTACCGCATTTGTAAGGGGGGAGGGGTTTGCTTAAGAAAAATATAAGTAGAGGACACATAAATAAAGAATATAGACAAAAAACAATTACCACTATCTGAATAAAAGAACTTACTTTTCCGGTACAATCAACAAAATTTACCTTATCTTCCAATTTATGAACAGTTGTCAACTTGAAATTAGCCTTCTATATTGGTCAAATCCTGACAATTGATTATTGAAGTCAACAAAGTAGCTGAAACATATAATTTTACATTGAATTTCGGAAAAATATTAAAGATATTAACATAAAAATGGCGGTTACAAAAACAATAATACTAACGTGTAGAAAAATTTCCAGAATTTTACTTTAACACTGACTCGAAATTCACAAAGTTTCTCAAAACTATATTTATTATTACAAACAATTGAAAATACTCGAAAACAAAGAAATCTCTACTATTTTCATGACAATATGCACTAATTATCGAATTAACTCTAACTCTTTAACAAACAAAAAAATACACATGATTTCTTCCACCAGCCCCTGACTAATGGCAACCGCGAGTGATAATACTTTGCGCGTATATTGCAATTCAAAATCCTGCAACATCCATTATTATTTATCCCACTTTTTATCAATTAATACGAAAATTACGAAATTTGCAACAATTACTTTAATTAAATGCAAATAGTTGATAAAAATTACAAATGATTTTCATGAAAAACTGAATGACAAAAAAACATAACCTAAAAATGTAAAGTTCACAAATATTTTTAGTTTTCACTAAATTTAAGCAATGATTAAGTTTAATTGTTTTTGTAAATGAAAAATAAATGTTTTCTTTGATAATTAACATACACGAGAACAATTGCAAAGTATTTTGTTAACTTTAAACTATCAATTAATACGCAGAGTGCTATCACTTACGATGCTCGAACAGGGAATGCCGGGAGTGACAACAAGACCGGCGGGTTTCAGCGGGAAACTGGCGCTCAGTTTGAAATTTTTTTAAAGCGCCCCGCGCGGCACTGTCATGTACTAAATTCAAATTTCAAATTATTAAAAACGAAAATAATAATTTTATAAACAAATTTTTAAAAAAACGTTTAGTAGCATTTTTGAATAGATATTAATAATTGGAAAAAATAATGAAAACTGTACTTTATTAAATAATTCATTACAAATTTTCAATAAATACAGAATTTATTTAATGTATTTTTTATTTATTCATTTATTATTATTATTATTATTATTATTATTATTATTATTATTATTATTATTATTATTATTACCTATTATTATTATTATTATTATTATTATTATTATTATTATTATTATTATTATTATTATTATCATTATTATTATTATTACCTATTATATACTAGCAACAATTCGGGCGCTAAAGCGCGCGGCTTCTCATAAAAATAAATTATGTTTAAAATTAAAAAAAAATTCTCGTCAAAATCCCAATTATCTTTGTAAATAACAAAATTTTTCCCCAAAGTTCAATTATTTTCAAAAATGACAATAAAATTCTTGTCCTAATTTCAATTATTTTCAATATCTACTATTTATTAATTAAATTTTCCGAGAAAAATTCAATTATTTAAAAAAAAATTTAATAAAATCGTACACAAACATTTAATTATTGTCAAAAATATGAAAAATTCCACAGGAATTCAATTATTTACAATTTTTTATAAATTTTTTCGCATTAATTTAATTATTTTCATAAATTTTTAATTATTACAAATTATTATAAAACATGAAGAAATCGATCACTCCGAGTCTTCGACTCGGAGCAATCTATATCTTCATGTTTTATAACAAAATACTATTATAATCAGTTGTTTAATTTCAAAAAGGTTTGAATTTGGAATTTTTTAATGTCTTAATTCCCGTGGAAAAATAATAATAATAATTAAATATTTATTTAAAAAAGAAATTATTGATGTTTTTGAATAATTTTAAAATTAAAAAAATTCTTAAAAATGTAACGGAACATTTTTTTTTGAGTAAAATTTTTTCCTTTATTTTCTAAAAATTCAAAAATTTTCATTTTTAATGAAAATTTTTAATTGACAAACATAATTTATAAACATTTGTTTCATTTATTTTTTAAGAAAACTTTGAATTTTATTAAAACAATTGTAATTAAAAAATTGAAATAATGTAAATTATTCCCTTATGAAAATTGAAAATTTTCTACAAAAATATTAAGAAACGGGAATACGTAATGTTTTTTTTCCCAAAATAAAAGAATGAGTTTGTGAACAATATTGTTATTGAGAAATAAAAATTATGCATAAAATGGGTATTTATTTATACTATTTCTTAATCATAATTTTTGAACAAATTTTCTATTTTTTATAAATAAACAAGAGAAAAATTTGCATAATTTAGATTAGTCAAACGAAATTTGTTATAAAAAAGCATATAACAAACAAAATGGGTAAATTTTTCATTTGTTAATCATAATTTTTTTTTTAAATTTTCTAATTTCTAATATTATTTTCATTATGAATCATGAAAAAATACCTACTGCATATTTTCGATGTGTCAAAACAAATTTTTTTTAAAGAAAAAAAAACAATAGAATACACAAAAACTAACTTCAGGTGTGGACAGAATGAAAGAATGAATAAGACGATTATTATAGTTAATAATAATAATAATTATTATTATTATTTATTATATTTATTGATTATTATTTTTTTATTTTATTTTACTGCCGATTGAAATTTAATGGATTATATAATTAAATGACAGAATAATTAATCTTTTTAAAATTAAATGATTCATGACAGAATTTAATAAATAACAAAATTTAATTAATAAAAAATTCAAAAGATCAGAAAATTAAATATATGAAATTGGAAGAAATTTAACTAATTAAATTAAAATATAACTATTCCAAAAAAATGACAAATTTAATTTATAATTTTTAGTGAATTTAATTTATTATTTCTATTAAATTGAATTTATTTCAATTTAATTAAATTTGAATTAATTCAAAATTACAATAAATAATATAAAAATACGAAAAATACAATTCTAAAATAATTTAAATTTATTTACTAATCAGAACTAATTTATTACATTATAATAAATATTTAATTAAGTATTGCTAATTAAATTATAAATTCTTTATGAATTTTATTTATTATTTTTTTATTACTAAAAATAATTATTAAAAACAATTAATATTACATGTTATTAATTATTGTCAATTACCAATTAATAATATATTATTAGAAGGATAATATATAATAATAACAACGAATATTTATTGTATTTACAGTAGTTTTATATTTAGAAAATAATTTACTTAGAAATAAATTAAAAAATCCGTAGAGACAATAAATTAATTTTGGCAAAATTTTTTTTGTTTCAGAATACTCTTGTTCCTGTCCACCATTCGAATGTGTCTGTGGACTTCAATCAAGCCAGCCGTCTTATCCATCCTCTCATCATCATCATCACCATCATCACCACCATCATCATCAGAACACAGGAATTTACAATCAACAACCAGTCACCACAGATACTCCTTACTGGATGCAGGATCAAGTTCAATCTCACGAGAACACTCTAGGATACACTCTCCCAAGTCAAGTTCCCCAGGAGGCAGCGTATCCCGATTTCCCAGCGTTCACTGGCGATCTCTTTCAACCCGAAGAAATCTTCCAATTGGATCAACCTTTACGACCTGATTTTCCCATGAATGCACAGGACGTTGCTCGATCGCCATCAACCTTACTCGACCTCGGCAGCGGTACCATCAAATACGAAATGAAGCAAGAGAATCAGGACAATTATTGGACCCAATTTCTCAGCGAGGACTCGAGCAGCAGCCACTTGAGTCTTCCCCATCAACAAGAAGACAGACTTCAACTCCACAATTTCGACGCTGAAAAGAATTTCGAATCAAATCGCCGTTCAATGAACAATTGTTACCCCATGACAAAGGATGCAAATCAAAATAATTCCCTCGATGGGGCAATAAATTATCCCTCCTATCCTCGCACCCAGAGTCAAAAGGATTTCGATAGCAGAAAAAATGACGATAATCAAACCAACTTCTGGTGTCAGGAGGATCGAGTTAATTTCTCGAGTTTCGATTCCCCAAAGGAAAATCTCATTGACGAAAGGAACACCTTCGTATTCCAAAAGCCAGACGATCTCAAAGCACAATCAATCGATCAACTTCAAGCTAGTCGCTCGCCAAGTGCGGAGAATAATTCAAATTTCTCCAGTTTCACTAGCTATCAAGTCATTGAGCCAGTGACGAAGAGTCCAGCGAATCGTTCACCCCATAATCATGATCGTTTGAATTACGAGCAAAATCCCGCGGTTATCGAACGACTCTTCTCAGAGCAGAGTGTAACCGAGTCGACGATACATTCGCAAAATAGTCCCGAGCCATACTTCTATCCCAGTCAGGATCGTTGTCAATATACTTGCGAAGTTTTGGACACGAGAATCCCACAGGTGGCAGTGAATAATAATCATTCGGTGAATTATGACGATGTCACTGATCTCGAATTACCGCCTTTCGTCGATTATACTCTCGTTAGTATGTTCTCCAGTTCCGGCAATGACGAGACGACGTCGGCAATTCTCTCCAATTGCTCCCAAACTGGTCAGAATTATGTTCCCAATCATTAGGTGTATATCTTTTATTTTTACCTGTGTATTATAAAATAAAATATTGTTAGTTGCACACAAAAAAATTAAGTTTTTAAATTTAGAAAAAATTTCTTTTTACCTTTCCTTTTGCACTCTTTTCAAGATTGCCATAAAAATGCGATTTTATTTTTTCCTGATGGACAGACAGAACTGGACCCTAAAGATTATTTTCATTCACTCTAAAAATAATAATTAGATACACAAAATAGTATATTTCCTAACAGTTTGTTCCAAAAAAAGTGCTCGTTCAAAAATTAGCAACTGCTAGCACTAGTTACGAACGATATTTTTCATACATTTATTTTAATATCTTAATAGTTTTAAAATTATTCTAAACGTCAACATTTATCTGTTTTTTAAAAATATCTATTTAATCATTTTTATTTTTACACATTTATTCAAATTTTAAAAAGCTTATTTTAAATCAGTTGAAATTCAATAATTATTTATAAGAATAATTATCTAGAATTATTTTCAAGATTTCAATTGCATTGTTTTCTAGAATTTTTAACAAAAATTCTTTTCTAATTCACTTATTTTTAAGAAAGTTCCTTAAGAATTCAAGTATTTATTTAAAAAAAACTTCACTAAAATATTTTTGAAATCCACTTGTTTAAAATTTAATTTCATGAAATTTATATAATTTGAAGATTTTTTAATTCAATATATATTTATAAATAAAAAGTAATTTAAAAAAAAATTGGAATAAAAATGTTACCAAAATGTAACTTTTTCAGAATTTTTAATGTAAAAATATAAAAATATTTACTCATTCATACTAGAAAAACTAATTAATATTAATACAAAATACTGTTTTTTAAACATTTGTTTTCTAAGAAAAACAGAATTTTATTTATTTTCATGTCTTGTTCTATGTTGGATTAAACAATTAATTTTTAGACATTCATATCACTTTTGTTTTAATTAGTTCAAATTTTTACTAATTAAAAACTTATTAGTTTTTTTTTGCCTAGAATTTGTTTAAATTTTTTGAAAATAATTTAATTGCTTTGAAGAATTTTTTGGAAATTTTGTAAAAATTATTAAATTCTTTAGAGAAATTTTTTTTAAATTGTATTGAAAATAATTGAATTCCTGTGAAGAATTTTATTAATATTATATAAGAATAAAAACAATTGGATTCTTCTAAATTTTTTCGACGAATTTCATTAAAATTAAATTGAAAATAATTCAAATACATAATTATTTATTAAAATTTATTAAAAAAATAAAAATAATTGAATTCTTTCGAAAAATTTTATTAAAATTGTATTGAAAATAGTTAAATGAATCTCGTGTGAAGAAGTTTATTGAATCCTTTGAAAATAATTGAATTGTTTTGGAGAATTTTATTAAAGTTGCATTTTTTTAAATTTCAAATCTGAAATTATTCAATAATTATTAATAATTATATTAATATATTATATTAATTAATATTATTAATAATTTGCAAGTTATTTATATTATTTTAAAAAATTGAAAGCGTAACTTTTATAAAATTCAATTATTTTTTGAATTTTGAAATAAAAATATTCGCAAAAAAATTTATAAATAATTATTTTTCGTCAGTTTTGGAAGAATTAAATTATTTATATTAAAGTCAAAGTCAAATCTGTAAAGTTCAATTACTGTTAAAAATATAGAAAGAATTTAAAATTAAATTAAATCTTTTCAATAATTTTAAAAGTTGCTGGACAACAAAATTCAGAATTTTCTTATGAATTCTAGAAATTGAATATTTTTCCAGTAATTTTGATAAAATTTCATGGCCAATTTTTACTTTCCTTGATTTTTTCCTTATTTAATTTCGGAGATTTTTTAAAAATTGTATTTGCGATTGAAAGAAAAATGCAGTTTATTTGTAAAAGTCACAATAGTTTATTTGAATTTTTTTTAATATATTCGTTATAACAGATACTCTCACGATCACAATTGTTATATTCCTACGCGTTTACTCATCTCCAGTTACATACACAATATTATCTTTGCCCTTTAACGACAGCAAAAATAGTATTAAACTGACGGATTGGCTGAGAATCAATAAAAACGATCAAAGGAGAAGCTTGCAAAAGTATTTAGCTGCTTGCGATTTAAAGTGCACAAGATAACGACAATATCATATTATTGTTAAAACGATCAAGAACAATAAGTCTATTTATAAATCCAGCCACATTTCATCTGCCGGCTATTATAGTAAATATATATTTATCATAATGATATTATAATAAATATCTAATTATACCGTATTGTTACTTACAGTAAATATATTTATACTTTATTATATTTATTTATATTTTCTTTCAATATATTTTCAAAAATTTTCAATCTATTTTCAATCTATATTCAATCGTTTCTATTATAAATTATATTTACTATAATATATTATATGTACGATACATATTTACTATAATACTAATAGTAAAAAAGCAAATTAATTCAACGAAAATTCTTGAATCCGTTTAAACGTCACATGATAATTGAAGTGTTCAGTGATGCACTGTCATTAACTTCAAGCGACTCGAATTCTTTTTTTTTTTTTTTTTGAAACCCGATAAAGTTGGGTTTATTTTTCTATTTGAGATTTTGCTTCTTATTTTTTTTTTCTTTCAAGGTACAAACTAAATTCTATTTCTATTACAAATCACTAGCTACTGGAGTCGATTTTTTTTTATCAGTGGAACTGGTGCTATTTTTTTCATTCTTTTAATTTATTATATAAATTACTGGGTGGCAAGGGCCAAACCTTAAGAATAAAAATACTCGAAACTAATTCTAGGATCTGTCGTCTTATAATTCCAAAATGGAATATTTATGAAATCATTTTCACGTGATATCAACGCACACGTTATACATAATATTGCATTATAATCTACTTAGATCTCTAGGTACAAAAAATGAGACGAACCTAAAACTAGGCGAGGTTTACTTATTTGTTTTCACTAAAAAAATAATTAAATTCCTATATATAATTTCGAAAATCCTGCCTTATTATATCGAAAACATTTTTTTTTACAAAAATTTCATAAGGTGCCAATTTTTTTTTAGAAAAATTTTTGCATTTTTTTAAATTTGTTTTTTTTTGTATCTAGCGTAAATTACTAAAAAGAGGAAAAAATTCTAAGCAACTGCCATCTGAATCAAGTTGGTTGGTACGGGAGTCGTTGTCAACAACATCGAAGAAGCCTTGTTAATATTTACAATTTTACAGGCACGTCGCTTTGATTCTCGGGCTTATCAGTTACAAACTACTTTTACCGTTTAGATGTAATCTACACATCGGTTACCATTATTTACTTTTTATTAATTTTTTTTTTCATTTTTTTTAAATGTTTTTCAACAACGTATTGTTTATAAACCAATACGATGAAAGAAAAAGCTCGTGCGATTTTTTTTAAACTCCTTTCTATTTCACAAATATATCGCAACTTGTGTGCACAGTAAGGATAAACTATTCTCATTGAGAAGAAAAATTTCGGAAACGCGACAAGGTCGTCAATTACAATATATATTGTTTAAAAGTACAAACTCCCAAGTACATAGATTCTCAGAGATTCCTCATTGCAATTTACAAATTGTTTTGAGAAACTTTCTTTTTTAACATTGGAAGCGAAAATTCTACTGATTATCAAAGTTTCGATTTTATTTCTATATAATAATTATGGTTACTTGGAGTGAAAATGGAACTCTCTTTCTTTATTTAGGAAAACGAAGTCCCTCGATAGAAAGGGGATGAGAGAAAAAAGAAGCAAGAGGAGATGAATATTACGCAATGAGTTAAATAAAAATCGAAATCTTGTCACAAGATTTATAAATTTCATGAGACTATACGGCTTTTCTAATGAGAACAGAGCCAAATCCATCGTCAAATTAAAAAGAAAATTTCACTTTTTCAATGCAAAATTTTTTTCAGAAATAATTATTTACAATCAGGTGACTCTGTCCTCTGTATTATAATAAAGAAAAATGTCTTTATAAATTGGTGTATTTTCAGTTTGTGAATAATAAATATGCTCTGTATGTACAGAATAGAAATGAGATAAAGAGAGAGAGAGAGAGAGAGAGGAGAGAGAGAGAGAGAGACATGATACTTATAAATGTAACGATCGATATTTAGAGACAATTTTTTTTTCACTATTTATCTTACTTTTTTTTATCTACACTGTATTAGACAGACATCTCTGCGTATAAATATCTTTGTATTATATTTTTTTTCTTCTTTTGTCAAGTATAGTTAAAGAAATTACATACTTAAAGGTATATATGAAACTTGGATCATTTATAAATCCTACAGCCATAAAAACGCCTTAATGAGATTTGAGATTATCGATTTGACTAAAAAAAGTGAAGTGAACAAAAACAAAAAATATTGTTAATTAAAGGATTCTAACGATCACAGCTATTATGCGATACTACGGGTGCTTAGATCGCGCTTTAGTTTATTAATACCTTACAGGGACGACGTTTCTTTCATTTCAAAAATAAAACGTCATGAAATCGAAAAAACTTCTTTTTCTCATTTTAAAAAGCAATGTAACTATTTTTCTAAGTGAGAAGAAAATCGGTTAACGAATTAAAAAAAAAGTCAATGACCGCTATGACATTTTTTTTACGTTTCCGAGTTTTATTTCTTTTTTTTTTTTGGTAAAGTTTGGGTCCTATAAAAATTTGAACTAGAGGCGATCTTCTAAACGGTATATATTATATGTGTATATAATTTCCATCAATAGGAGTGTGTGTGTGATATACTTAAGTTTAGTGATGAAAAACGTATGTTTGTGTGTGTGCAAAGCTTTGAAGCACAAATTGGAAAACGACCCACAGGAATATATGTACACCTTATCGCGTTGATTATGCTTCCACCGTTATTGCATAATATATTTTATAGAATTGCGTTTTTTTTTATAAAATATTCTTACGCTTTATGATATACGTGAATGTTGCACGTTTTCTTCTAATACATATACGATATATATTATATCATAATTTTATATGTATATAATATATAAATGTACGTTTTGAAGCATGTTCAAGAGTTTAAAACTTATTTTCTATTTAACTCTCAATTATGAGAATTTTAGTTCAACGAGACTAAGTACCAGGGAATTTTCTTCATGTATTAATCTCGTCGTTCCAGGGTATAAAAAAATGAAAAAAAAAATTTACGCGAGATCCAACTAAAAAAAAATGAGAAACAATAATGATGTTCGTGTGGTTAATATCTTTTATATATGTAAAAAAAATTACCAGTCACAGCTATCCACAGCATTCGGCAAATATGTTGCACTCGTTAAAAATTATTTATATCACAATAAAACGCCAGCGCATCCTTCCGTCTCATTTCGCAACACCAACTTGCGCATATAAATCTATTTTTTGCGTTGCCTTTGATAATTTACTAATTGTTTTGTGTAGCTTATTATAAGGGAACGCGTCAAGATTCTGGCATGTTTTGTCCTCGATCCGAGGATCCGGATGGCTGCGGAGACGTACAATGGGGAATCGGCGATCTTGGGGCGATACCTCTTGAACGTGTATTTTTTTTTCTTTAGTAGTATGCCTGGTTCCTACAATTTGTTGTCAACAGTGTCCCAAGTAACACGATTCCTTAATCACAGCGCGTTTACACCAGGCAAGAAACAGAGGAGACCGCACATCTTTGTTTTCTTGATATTCTTTTTTAAATTACTGGCTCTTTGCTGAAGAAATTGAATCCATTCTTAGAACAGGCTTTACTCGAACTCGATAGAATTTCGTACCCTGGGGCACGCGGAAACGATTTTCAGGCTGAAAGAAACAAATTTCATTTTAGAACACTACCAATATTATTATTTTTTTTAAAAATAAAATCTTTTCAAAAGAAAAAAATTTTCATTAAAAACTGATTTTAAAATTTTAAATTGATAACAAAATGGGTGATACGAATAAAACAGAATTTATCATATTTGAGAGAGGAAAGAAAGTAAAATAATAAAATAAGTACCTGAAAATAAACAAAAATTTCATATTAACGCAAAAAAATAAAAAAAAGTCGTTTATTTTATTCAGAGTTGACAAAAAAATTCGATTTTCTATTTCTTTGACTTTTCCTTGATTAGCAGAAAATTTTTTAACTTTTTCCTTTATCCTTTATTCCTTTACAACTTCAATTTAAAATTTTTGTAAAATTTAATTATTTTCAATATTTTCATATTTTTAAATATTTTTCTTCAAAAAACACAATTACTTTCAAAAATTGTTATAAAATTTTATAAAACATTAAAATTTATTTCAAAAAAATAAAAATTTAATTATTTTCTAGAATTTTTAACTAAATTTATTCGAATGTTTAATAATTTTGTAAAACAAGTACCTATTGAAATGTTATGAAATGAAATTTTCAAACAATTTTTATTTGAAACGTTCTGAAATTTAATTATTTCTAAATATTGCTACTGTCACTTTTCCAAAATTCAAATATTTTCTATAATTTTTAATTGAAATTCATCTCTATATTGGTTTTTTAGAGGATAATTTTTATTTTTGATATTTTTTCACTACTACATTTATAATAATTTTGAGAAAGTTCTTCGAGGATTTAATTATTTTAAAAAATTCGTTTAAAATTCAATTGTTTTCAATCAAATATTACGAAATTTTGATTATTCAGAAGTTTTTTAATTAAATAATATATATGAGGCATTCCATTTCAAAACGACCCCCTTCGTAAACAATTGCCAATGTAAGACTATTTTTAAATGAATATTTCTTCCATTCTGTAGAACCAAATTACTTTTTATATTAGTGATTTCGAAAGTAGAATTTCTGAACTTTCTAATAAGAAAAAAATACATTTTTTTAATAATTTAATTTAAATAGAAAATTGAGTTTAAAAGTTAAACTTTGAAAAATCTCAAAACACGTTACCTCCGATTTTAATAAAATTCATATCAAACGAAAGCTTGAATATTGGACATTTCAGTGGATTTTGAGAAAATAATTAAATTTTACAGACATTTAGAAGGTTATTATGCATAAATTGGGAAAAACAAATGCCGCCCTATACTTAATAAATGGTTTTCTCAATATAACCTTCTAAATGTTTGTAAAATTTAATTATTTTCTCAAAATCCACTGAAATGTCCATTATTATCGTTTGATAAATAAAAAGAAGAATATTCAAGCTTTCGTTTGATATTAAATTTATTAAAATCGGAGGTAACGTGTTTTGAGATTTTTCAAAGTTTAACTTTTAAACTCAATTTTCTATTTAAATTAAATTATTAAAAAAATATATATTTTTATTATCAGAAAGTTCAGAAATTCTACTTTCGAAATCACTAATATAAAAAGTAATTTGGTTCTACAGAATGGAAGAAATATTCATTTAAAAATTGTCTTACATTGGCAATTGTTTACGAAGGGGGTCGTTTTGAAATGGAATGCCTCATATTCAGAACATTCAAACTAGTTTCAAAAAAATTTGAACTAAAACTTTTTAAGAAACTAAGTTCTTTAAAATTTTTAATTATAGTTATTCAAAATTCAAATTTTTAAAAAATTTTATTCGACACCTTTTGAAATTGAATTATTTCTAGAAAATTTTTCACTATAATTCTTCCTATAGTTAATAATTTTCTCGAATTTCTGACTATTTCTCTAATTCTTTTATTATTATTTTTAGAAAATTATTCGAGAATTTAATTATTTAAATGGTACAATAAAGTTTTTAAGGTTTGGATAAATTAATAAATTGGTTATTGATAAAATTTATACAAATTTTAAAACAATTGTAATTCAAAAATACATTTTGAAAAATATTTAAAATTTGTTTTAATGAATAATAATTTCACTCGTTGGTATCGGAAAAATATTAAACTTTTAGAATTCATAAGAAAATTCTAGACTTTAGTGTCCAGCTAGCTTTGAAAATATTAAAAAGATTTAATTCTTCTTAAATTTCTTTTTGCTTGTCTTATAAAGTTTGAAATCACCACGAATTTTAAATCAAAAACTTAAATCTTTTATATTGCTGACAATTATTAAACTTCACAGAATATGAAATTGAATGTATTTAAAATTATTGTGTTTACAATTTTTATAAATAATTAAATTCAATTTCAAAATTATTAAAAATAATTAATGTAGAGAAGAATTTTAGTTAAAAATTGTAGAAACTAATTGAATAGACATCATGAAAATAATTTTGAAGAAGTTATAGTCGTAATTCTTATAAGTTATTGAATTTCAAAAGGTTTGAAATTTAAAAATTTTGAAAATCTTAATTTCTATGTAAAAATAATAATTATGATTAAATATTTATCTAAAACAAACTAAAAGACTTGCAAAAAAGTAAGTTTTACAGGAAAAGATTAGTTATTTTGTACAATATGAAAATCGAAATAAGTTGCATTCTATATTAAAAAAAAATGTTATCTGTTATTTAGTTGCAATATGTGAAAGAAAAGTTGAAAAAGTTTTCTCTGAAGCCTGTTGAATAATATAAAATATGTGATTAAGAAAAAGGAAAAATTGTAATAATAAATATTTGTTGAAATACCTTCTTCGCATGACAATATTCTTTGTCAATAACTTCTGCAACCACGTGCAATCGATTGGGCGTTCCATCGGGACCACCCTTCAAATCCAACACATTGATGCAGTCGGAATTGAGAAAATACATCGTCCTCGACTCCTGGAAGATAATATAATTCCTGTGCTGAGAGTCCCACAGAACTAAAACCAAATCTCCGGGATTGCAACTCGAAATGTTAATTAGTCCCTGTTGCACAAGACCAACGGTGCTCTTCGACAATTTCTCACGAATTTTGGTCGAGGTCGGAGTTGACGTCGAAGCTGACATGGCATCACGTCGATGTGGTTCAGGACTTGTAGCAACATCTCGACTTAATGGTTCAGCAACAACGGCAACAGACGTACTCATATCTTTCTCACGTCCCTCTGTCGACGTACTCGACGACGAACCAACGGAATCAGCGGCAAAATTTCTCTTGGAACGCTCCTTAACTAATTCAATCTCCAAACGCACCTTGTCCGACTCCAATGAACAAACAATCGACTCCGCCATTTCTTTACCCTCTCTCATTGCTCTCAATTCGGCATTCAATCTCTTATTGTCGTCCTCAAGAAATTTCACTCTACCGGAAAAATACGCCGGATCACTATCAGCTTCTAATTTGACTTTTTTCGATTCCGAAACTTGATCCTCATCACGATCGGCACTCAAAGTTTCCTCATGACCAAGTGTCGTTTGATTTTTCGATCGTTCGCCCTTCAATTCCTGGCGTAATTCATTTCTCTCAACTTCTAGATCATATACCTGATTTTCCCTTTGCACTAATATATTATGATCAGCCGCTATTTTATTCTCAAGTTGTACGTTAAGAGCATGAAATTTTTCCACCTGCAAACAAACAAAGAAAGCAAAATAAATAAACTGTCTGAAGAAAAAATTTCTACAACTAAAAAAGCAGAAAAAAGTACCTTTTTAGTCAATGTTTGTCCAATTTGACTCGCAGATTCTGTCAAAAGACTAATTGTATTCTTGTAACGTTCACATTCAGCAATCAATGACATTTCTCTCGATCTGTAAATTTCTAATTCTCGTTCTTTCTCCTCAACCATTTGCCTTGCGACTTGCAATTCCTGATCAAATTTAACGGTGAATTCTGCTCTCTCCTTTTCAATAGCGTGACTTATTTCTGACGCTCTCTCCATTATCATGTCCTCCTTCGTTTGAGCTAAAATTGCCTCATGATTCACCAATTCAATCACGTCGGTTCTCTGCAAATAAATTAATAATTATATATTGATGAACCAGATGAATTTTATTTCAAATGAAAAAGAAATACAAACCTCTATTTTCTCGAGGCTGGAATCACTGGGACTTCTCTCCATTGTCGAAGCAGCCATAAGTTTGAAACGACTTCTGATTGTTTCCAATTCTCGTTTATATTCGATCTGTAATTTATCGCTTGCTTCCTTGACAAGTCTCTCTTCATCAACACGTGAAATGGCGAGAGTTTTCTCCAATTCTTGTATTCTCTCCTGACATTGAGTTAAAGAACTGGTCAAAGATGCTATTTCGACAATTCTAGTCTCATTAGCTTCCTTAAGTGCGTTCTCTTTCTCCAAACTCGACTGCTTCATAGTCTCCAATTGTCCATGAAAACGCGTTTGCAAAATATTCTTCTCCGACTTCTCATTATCCAAAGTCTGTCGCATTGTATTCAAGAGACGTTCATGTTCTCTTATTTCCGTTTCCTTTTCCATAATCGTACATTTCATGGCACGAATATCTTCTTCGCGATTTTGTAACATTTTCTTTAAGTCAGCCATCTCAAGTTCGTGATCCACCGTCAATTCTTGTTCACGTTCTTGAATTATCCGTTTACATTCATTCGAATGAAGACTAACTGCCTGATTAAGTTGTTCCGTAATTGTTGCAATTCCACTCTCGTCAAAATTCATTCGCCCTTTCAAATCGGCCAATTCAGTTCTAAATGTTTGAAGCGCCTCGGTTGTAACACTCTTCATCATTCTCAAGAGATTACGCAGTCGATCAACTTCCTCCTGTGTTGTACCGAGATTTTCCTGAAACAATTCCAACTCGATACTTTACTCGAAATATAAAAACTTTTGTTATTACTCGATCTTTTTATGGGATTGATGATAATTTTTTGTCAAATTACCCGTCAAAAGATCGAAAATTATTTCTTTTTTTTCATTGAATGAAAGAATTATTTTAAAAACAATGTTAATTAGTCAAAAGGTGCCACAGATAATTTAAAAGTATATGTATATATATTTTCACATGAAATGGCATGATTGCAAATTTGGAAAGATACTGGGAAAAATAAGGATTCGGAAGAGTGCGACGGCAGCTATCCTGAAAAAATTAAAAGAGACACGCGAGCACGACTCTTTCTTTTTTCTACTTTTTTTTGTCATTAATCGCACACAAAAAAAATTATAACACGCTAATTAAAAATACATACATGCCAGAACCTTACAAGCAACAAAAAATCGCAATGTTTGTAATTAATTGCGAACAAGCACGGGCTTCAGGATAAAACACTCAAACAATTTAATTTCGAATAAACCAAAAAGTAAATTTCATTTTCAAAATGTCGATTTTCAATCTTATGTTACGTTATTTCATCTTATTATTTATTGTAATATTTATCTCTTTTATTTTTTACTTTATTTTTTATTATTATTCTATTATTTCTATTATTAATATTAAAAACGATAGGAGGAAAATTTTAAAATAAACACTTAAAATAATGAAACACTAATTACAGGAATTTTAAAAACATACACACTTGATTATAGGAATAAAGAAGTAAATTCAGAGCAAAAAAAAAATAAATTTTAAACTTCAGTTAACTAAATTTGGTAGGGAGAGAGAAATTTGTACACAAATAAACTAAATTGGAAAATTAACAAAACTAAAAAACAGAAGTTAATATTGAGTAAAAAAATAAATAATTATTGTTCGAAAAAATTAAATTTCTATTTAAAAAAGTTTGTCGGCACTTGAACAAAGTATTTTAATGAAAATAAACGGGAATTGTAAAAAAAAGAAAGATAAAAACATTTGGAAAATTAAAAATACAACTACGTGTGATTGAAAAACATGTAAATTGAAAATGTGAAGATAATTAATCCCTGAAGATCTTTGCGGTTGTAAAATATTCTATTTTGTAATTCAAAATAATATAATTTGTTTCATTCGTATTAACAAAGCAATTTTTATTTTAAAACAGACAAATTTTCCCAAATTTTGTAAAACGAAATTTTATTTTCGAAATACTTGAATTATTTAGTTGTAATAGTTAATTATTATGTTGTTTAAAATCAGTTTTACCCGAATTCTGAAAAACAAAATTTTGTCTTTGATAATATTTAAATTTATTTACTTTTAATGTTTCAAGTTCAATAGTTTAATTTAAGATATTATAGAGAATTTCAAACTTTTTGAAAATATTAGAATAAATTTCAAGATTTCTAATTATGGAAAAATATACGAATTTTTGAAAACGTATCTTTGAATTTTGCTACTAGGTCTTCAGAGGAAAATTTGTAACAATTTCTGCCAAAAAATGGAAATTGGGACTTGACGGCAAAAAAAGTACAAAAAATAGAAAATAAATTGGAGACAAAATTAAGAATTTCATACGACTTACAAAGTAATCAACTTTTTTTATATTCCCCATTGAAATTCCAAAACTTTCGAGTAAACTTATTAAAACCCACTTGTTAGAAAGTTCACATTATTATCTGAGAAAATCTCATTTTTTTCAATCAATAATAAAATTAATTTAATTTTAATTAACAAACATAATGAATTACTTTTTCCAGAATTATTTTGTGACAGAAACTATTGGTGAAAGTTACAAGAACACAAACATTGAAAAGAAAACAAAAATAAACACAAAAGGCGTATAAAAAATTGATTGAAAATTTGTAACAACCCAAAGCGTTTGAATAATAATGGAAAGCAATAAAGCTTGAGACAAACATAATAAAGAAGGCGAAATTAACACACACGAATAAAAAACTCAAAACCTAAATTAAAAAAACAGCAAAAAAAGAAAAAAATGTATAGGGATTAAAAGAAAAGAATAGGAATAGTGACCCAACGTGGTAGTGGAACGTTTACTGCTACGTCTACGGAATTGTTTTTTTTCAGCGAGCTGTAAGTCGTCCAGTACCTGAAGAAGGGATACAATAGCCTGATGTTGGCTGTCGGTGGGATGTTCGCTGAGACTGCTTGGCAGTGATTCATCCATGTAAAATTCGGTACCCATGAAATCAGTTCCTCCAACAGCAACTGGACTGCTGCCTTCGCTTCCACATTGTTGCTGCTGCTGCTGTTGTTGCTGTTCAATTTGTAATTTTTGCTGTCCGTCGCACCCTACGGGTTGAGATACGGTAGTTGATGGATTCGAATTTAAGGAATTTCTAGGAACGTTGGTAATTAAGGATAATGGATTATTACTGAATGGTTGTGCGTCGCACGAGAGATAGTGATCATGAGAATTGGATACACCGTTTTCGATGCACTCTGTCAGCGGACTAAGCTGATGTAGTCTTTCGCTTGTGGTTAAACTAGGAAAATGATAGGATCCAGGTTCGCTGGATGACGAAGATCGATTGAAATCAGTGCCTTTTGAATTTAACGGGGATATATTAGTTGAGGTTGAAGAACCGAATGATCCACTTTGTTGAACACCAACCTCCGATTCTTTACGTCGAAACTCCTCAGAAAGAATGCCATCATAATAATTCAGCTTCGAGTCCGTACCACGTTGGCCAATCTTCTCAAATTCCTCTGTATCCGTTTCCGACTCGAAATCACCTCTGAAAGTTAATATCAATATCAATTATATAATAATAAACGAGATATTTTGTCCTCATGGGAAGTTAGTACTTTATGATTCCAAATTGTCAAAAGGTTGACAATTAATTTGTAAATAGAGTGATTAGTGTCAGAATTGCCACAAAAATTTAATTTTGTTTTTCCCTGACTTTTCCTTGATTTCCAGACAAAATTTACAATTTTTGCCTGACAATAAAAAAAATTTCGATTCACTCTAAAAATGATTAGATACTCAAAAAAATTATCCCATTACATTTATTTACGAATCATTATTAATTTTCCACTTTCTATAGGAATTAAGTTTTATGATAATTAAATATGACCGAGTGATAAAATCATTATTTTATATTATTTATTTATTTCGTTACATATTTTAAGAATAATGTTACTGTAACTTCTTCAAAATTATTTTCATCATCTCAATTCAATTATTATTTTCTAGAATTTTTAACTCAAATTCTTCCTTAAATCAATTATTTTTAATAATTTTTAAAAAAGTTCATTGATAATTTTCATATCCATTTGTTTACAATCCAATTTTACGAAATTCTGATTATTCGAAAATTCTCCAATTAAATATATGTTAGAAAATAAAAACTTTAAATAATTTCAAAAAAAATTCAATTCAACTTTTTCAAAAAAATTAATTCTACAGAATTGTGTTGGTTAAAAGTATGAAAAATTCCGATTTTCAAAGATTTTAATTTGAAACCTTTTCAAAATATCAATTATTTCTAAAAATCTACGCTTTTAATTTTTTTTAAATTTTAAATTTTTTTTTTAAATTTTTTTTTTTTTTTTTTTTTTAATGCTTTTAATATTCAATTATTATCTAAAATTGTAACGCAAATTCATTTTTAAATCAATTTTTATATGAAAATTCTACGAGAATTCAATTATTTAAATAGATACAAAAATAAATAATTTATTCAAATTGAATATTTCTTAAAATTGAACCCTCATAAAGAATTTTATCAACAAATTTTTAAATAATTGAATTATTTCGACGAATTTTAATAAAAAGTTTTAAAATAATTATAATTTTTCGAGGAATTTGATTAAAATTATATTAAAAATTATTAATATTCTGCGATCAGTTTTATTATTTATGAAAATAATGGAATTATTGCAAAGAAATTTATAAAAAACTTGTAAATAATTGAATTCCTGTTAAATTTGTATTATTTATAAAAATAATTAAATGTTTACGTTGAATTTTATCAAAATGTTTTCCAAATAATAGAATTCTTTTGGAATTTTGACAAGAATTTTATTAAAATTTTTGAAAATAATTGAATTTTGGAGAATAATTTTATTGTTTATACAGACAATTGAAATTTTGACGAAAATTTAAAAAAAAATTTTGGACTTAATTGAATTTCGGTGAAGAATTTTATTCCTTTGAAAATAATTGAATTTCTGCATTCATTTGTAACTTCTCCAAAAGTCAATTTTTTTAGTGTTTTTAAATAAAAATTCTTTTACGAATCTATTATTTTTAATAATTAATTAAATATATTATTAAAAATGTAACTAATTTCAAAAGAATTTGAATTTTATATTAAAATTCGTGATAATTTTTCAGTTTATGAGGCAAACAAAAAAGAATCCAAAATTCAGAATTTTCTTATGAATTCTAAAAATTTAATTTTTTCCAGTGCTTTTAATAAAAATCCCTGACCAATTTGCAAACTTTAAAAATAATTAATTATTTTATTACTTATGTTTGTATTTAAATAATTGAATTTTAGTAGAAGTTTTTGATTAGAATTGATTTGAAAACGAATTTCAGTTAAAATTTTAGAAAATATTGAAGGATTGGAAGAATTACAGTTCTAATCTTAAGAAATAATTAAATTTCAAAAGATTTTACATTGATAGTATTTTGAAATTTTAATTCCTGGCCTACAAATAAATAACAATAAGTTTTCAAATATTTATTAAACAAAAATTAATAAAATTTGAAAAATTTTATTTAGAAATTCTGAAAAAATTAGGTTTTTTAAAAATCGTAATTCAAATTTTTTTAAAATAGTTGAATCCCAAAAATTATTTTAAAAAATAATAAATTTTGATTAAATTTCAAAAAGAAAGTTTTTGTAACCAACAATTGATTAGACAATTATCAGGAAGAAATTGAATTTTCCCAATTTATTTACACACCTGTCGATTAGCATCTGTGGTCTTGGTTCCTGATTTTTTGATGAGATATCGACAGGCATTGAAGTACTTTCCTTGTCCTTGCTGTCAATACTACCCTCGCTTAAACACTTTGAGTAGAAGAATTGTGTGATGCTGTTAAGATCAGGAGATGAGACATTGAGAGCAAGATCTGGTAATTCCTTTCTCAATGATTCCATGTCCTCGATGGTTAATTTCGGAAGCCTGTTGTCAAATATCTGAGGCGCTTGAGTTGCAAAATCAGGTGGCGTATCATCCATACCGGGAAATAGTGTATTAAGAAAATGTCCATCAAATTTACTTTGAAATTCACGACGTCTTGTGAGTTCTTCATTGTGAATTGTTAACAATTGACAAGCCAAATTACTGCCCCAAGATAAAAACGATTGGGAGAATGTTTTACGTCGAACCACTTCTGTTATGGCACTCATGTACATTTCCGGTGCTAGATGAATTTGTTGCAATATATCAATATGCTTCTTTAATCGTTTTAAAATTTCATTGTACATGGTCAATTTATAATTAACGTTTGTTATTTTATTTTCAACATAAACAATCCATTTTAGACGATGATAAATATTTGTGGATAATTCTTCCTTTGCTTTTGTACAACGTCGACGAATATCACGTAATTGATTGTGATTGTTTAACATAACGAGAAGTTGTCTACGATGTGATGTACAAAGATCGGGAAGTACACTAGCATCGCCTTCAATTTTTGTACGATTTTGATTTTGTAAAAAACCTTGAGCCAATTCTTCCTGTTCTTGGGAAATTTTCTTTGCTTGGGTCATTAATTGTTCGAGTGCATATAATCTATCGCCAAGACCGCGAATTTCTTTCAAATCCTGTTTATTTGCACCATTTATAACTTGGTTCACGTCCTCCATTAATATTTCCATGAAACTCTCATTAAAATGTTCCATTCCCCTCGAGCATTGTTCAGCAAGTTGTACCAGTGAACTATGATTATCCTTTGCTGAGATCCACTTGAATAGGCTCAACACTCCAGCATCTCCTTCTTCTTCTGTTGGCAATTCGTCAGGACTAAGAAGACCCTCGGCTTGAGCTCGCAATGCCGGCAAAATTGGAATTTTCGTCAAGTTCTCCACATCGTGGCTGTAACTAAATCAAAAATTAATTGAATAAAAAAGAAATTCTAAAAGTCATTGAAAAAGTATTGAAATTTAATAGAGGATATTTTTACTAATATTTAAATAAAACGATCAATTTCAGGCCTCGGAAAGAATTTAAAGGGCAAAAAAGTCGATTTACAAAAGACTTTTGAAAGATCTTTTTAAAGATACAAAAAAAGTCGAAAATTCGTTTATTTTATTTTAGTGTTGTCACAAAAATTTCATTTTGTATTTTCCTGATTTTTCGCCGATCTCTAAATTAAATAAATGTCTAAACACATACTTGCTATTTATTTTTCCACAGGAATTAAAATTTTTTATATTTCAATTTTAAAACCTGCAATTTAATTATTTCTAAAATTATAGAAAATTTTATATTAATAATTATAAGGTTACAATTGTAACCCGTCTAAAAATTAATTTTTTTTACAATTTTTAAATAAACTTCACTAAAATCAATTACTTTTAAAAATAAAAGTAGAAAAAGAAAATGGTAGAAAAGAAGTTCTTTGAGAATTTGATTAGAAAAAATAACTTTTTTTGGTTTCTTTAAAAAGTAATTAAGAAGAGATATTGAAAAAATTTTATCAGAAAAATTTTAAAAAAAAATTATTTTTAAACAATTATAATAAAAACCAAACTTAAAATTATTTTTTTAAAATCTTTTTACATAAATTTTGAAAGTTAATAGATTTTTCAATTACAAAGAATTTTTGAAAAATCTTAAGAAATAATAAAGTTTTTGAAGAAATTTTAAATACAAAATGTGAAAATACAGGACTTTTCCAAAATTTTAATGATAAGTCTAAAAAATTAATGTTTCAAAAATTTTAATTTACTTCTTTTTTAAAATATAATTGAATTAAAAAAATAAGACAAAAAAATTTTTTAAATTAGTTTTTTAAAAAATTTTTAAATAAGTATTAAAAATTAATAGATTTTTTAATTATATACCATTCAAAAATTTCCAAATAATTGATATTTAGTACAATATTTTCAAAACAAATGAATTTCTTAAAGGAATTTTAGGAAAACATTTTTAAAAATAGATTTTTTAAAAAATAATTGAACTTCTTAAAAGAATTTTTAGACAATTTTAAAAACCAAATCAATTTTTGAAGAATTTTAATTAAACATTTTGAAAATGATTGTTTTCTCTAAAATTTTAGTAATTATTCTGAATTTTTTTTTAAATTTTGATGTGATTATTTTTTGTAGACGTACATATTTTAATTTTCGAAAATATGTAATTGTTACGAAATAATAATGAAATTATATAATGAAAAAAAATCTAGGATTTTGTTTTTAAAATAATATTTCAAACATAATTTTTTGAAGCAAATTTCCATTCTTTCACTTTCAAAAAATTTTTTGAAGATTTTCCATTAAAATTTTTGAGAATTTAATATTACTTTCAAAATTTGGAATCAAAATTCTTCAAAAATTGATTTTTAAAAATTCTAATCAAATACTTAGGTAAATAGAATCAATTATTTTCAATAAAATTTTACAAAATTTCAATTGTAAATATTTAAAAACTATTATTTATTTATTTCGATAATTTAATTATCTTCAAAAAATTATTTAATATTATTCTTTGAATGATTTTTAGTATATTTATTATTTACTCTAAAAAAATCGAAATAAGTGGCATTTTACACCAAAAAAGTGTTATTTTGTTGCAATATTTGGAAAAAATTTGAAATAGTCGCAATTTTTGTAACGAAGTAAAAAAAATCGACAGTTTTAAAAAATAGTCGGGAAAAGTCGAAGAAATGATACAATGCGAGGCCTGCAATTTGGAAAAGCCGAAGGCGAGGCACCGCTTGATGCCAATGCTTTCTCGCGCGTTTACCGTTAGATGAAAGATCCATGGCTTACTTTTGAAGAAGTTCTATGTACTGATGTCGTTCAGCGTGATAAACGGCGAAGCTATGCTGAAATTGTTCAGCTTTAGATTGAAACATTTGCACAACGTCCTCAAGATTAGCAATAACAGCCGCCCATCCCTGTTGCTGTAAATGCTGATCATGGACCAGTCTCTTGCAAATTCGAATCTGATCGCGAGCCAAACCACAACACTGTTGGGCCAGTTGAGCACGTGCGACAATTGTTTGATACGTTGCCGGCATCGCTGACGAGGCATCAATTTGACTCTGAAGATCAACATCTGCAAAAAGAAAAAAAAAATTTAATCCATCACAATTTTTGATCAATATTCTCCAATTACGACAGAAAAAAAAATAATAATTAATCGACACTTCTTTATAACATGCGTTTAAAAAGCTCGTCAACGTGATCTTGGCACGCGATGAAAATTCAAGGTTACTCGAATGACTAGAGATCTCTCTTTGAGAAACTTACGTCATAGTTGCATGGATTATTTCTCTTAAATTCTATCCATTTTACTCCTAATAATAATATAATAATAATAATAATAAAACTGAAAATTCCCCTAAACAAAAATATTTGTCAAAAATAAATTTGCTTTTCATTCCCGGAATATGCTCCAATTCCCCTATCAGCGGACTGATTCAATTTTCAATTGATTTCCAATCTAATCAATTTTCAATCAAATCTTGGAAACCCTTTGGAGTTTAAATACAAGTACAAAAGTCATTCTATTTGGCATTGAACTTTAGCCTATTTAATCATCATTCAATTACGGTTACGAACGGTAAATATGAAATTTAATTATTTTTCACTTCGGAAAGAAAATCAACTTTTTCCTTTATTTTTCTATCATATAAATCAGTTTTTTTGAAGCAATTTTTTTTCTCCATATTTTACATTTACAATATTCATTTTCTGACATGTATAAATATTATTAAATGATTAACGTCTTGTGTTTTTCTGCTACTAAAAATAGTCACTGTCATACGATTATTTTTCCAACAACAAAAACAAAAATTCATTAAATGGCTAATTTTCTACAAAAAAAAAAGAAAAATCAACATCTTCGTAAAAATTTAATTTCTATTCTGTTTTCTACATTTTTACTAACGTTTAATTTGATTATGAAATCGTTAATATTATTTGAAATTCAAGAAATGAAAGTTCGAGACAGTTATCAAATACATTATTCATATATTTAATGTGATTATGCATTCGCGAAGAAAACTAATTCTACCCCTATTTAGACTATTTTCAACGTTAAAATTACGCCACACAATTTTCAGAAAATAATCGCTCTTGGATTGACCCAGAAAATTTGTTGCACATTATGCACGACTTAGAAACATATGAATATTTCCGTATTTTCTCTATAGCTCATAAAATCGCGAAATATTTCCTTATTGTTTATTTTTATTTGTATATTTTCTAATTTTATTTATTTTATCTATTGGTATTTTAATGAAATATTAATTTGAAAAAAAACTTTTTTTAATTTTCAATACAATTTTCCTTTAAACAAAACGTCTTTGGACTAATTAGCCCCAAGTATCAATTAAAATTAATTGGAAAAACTTGATTTTAGTTAAAAATTCATCTCTATGATTTATGTACTTAAATTGTAAGATAAAGCAATTTTTCATTGGACGCATTTTTCACTATATAACAATTTATCTTTTACGAGATAAATGAACAAGGTCTGACATTTTTAATTTTTATACTTAAACGTATTTCATTGTCAAAGAATTAATTGAAAATGTATGAATTCAATAAAAAAAAAAGTTATAAATTCAGAAATTCAAGTTCAGAGGATTTTTCCAAGATTCAGTCACATTTGCAATATTGCTTAAGTCAATCTTTATATTGTTTTATTGCATAATTCCTTTGTCCTTCATAGTTGAATAATTTTCTTGCTCGGCAATTCATGTTTCAAGACATAAAATGCAATTATTAAACTTTAAACAAATGTGATTTTAATTACAATATAAATGATGCCATAGAAAGTAAGTTATTACTTTTTGTGACAGACATGAAGACATGAAGAAAACTTTTCCCTAATGAATAACAAATGCTCTTCATTATTTTTTTTTTTGTCTTATTTTAATCAAGTTTTTCGATTAAAAAGAATAATAAATATTCAATATGCTAATGAAAGAAAATTAATCGCAATAGATTAAATAAAATTTTCATGTCTGATTTGTTTTGGAAAAAAGAAATTCGATTTTTTGTCAAGTGTATTTTTTTTTTAAATATCGAATAAATTTTCTATTCTATTTTTTCTTTTTTTTGAAATAAAAGAAGATTAATCTTGTTACTAATGGAACAAATATTAGGTCGATACTTGGCAGTTTTCCAAGTACAAGTTCTCCCTAATAGAATTAGCCAATTATAACAGAGTTGATAAAGTTTCACGTATAGCCTATGACAATTATGAAACATAAATGACTTTATCCGATCCATTAATTAATTATTCTATTTATTGAAATTTTATCCTATTTATTGGAATTTTTTCCCATTTATTGAAATTTTATTTTGATATTATTTATTTAACTCTATTGTCGAGTATGAACCAAAATATGAATTACGAAAGGAAAAAAATTTTATAGGTACATTATAATAGAAATCTGGGCGAAGTTTCTTTTGAATTTAAAAATTAATTCTTTCTTTACGAACCAAACGCAAGATTGTAATTAAGACTTTAATCTTTTATCGACCGTGTTTAATTTCCCATGTAAATATACATAAATTTTTGCAACGTTCCTTATAATATAAAATTGAATATACTTTTCTCAATTCAAAAGTGTCTAAACACGCGATAATATCAAAATTATGTTCAAACTAAATCACTTCTCTATAAGTTAATTAACTGAAAGGTGTAATTTTCTTCAATTTAACAGATTTATTCAACGCATTTCTCTAAGCATCCCTCTTATCACTTTCTGATTACAAATTTCACGCTGATAAATCTTCTTCATTAGCCTACAACAACGTTCCTACTTTCTTCTTTATACTATGTATAAAAAAGTAATAAGATACAATAATGATAAAAATAAGAAGAGAAAAAAAAGCCAAACAAATCAGAACGGAACGAAATTATTCTCCCAGTAGGACAACTGTGTTTTTTTCCTGCTTTCAGCAAAAAAAACCTGTTTTGCATCTCCAATCGGTATAATAGTAAATAGAGAGTAGATCTTGATATGTGCATCAACACATTATAACTGTTATATTATAACTAATCGGTATATGAAAACTCGAGTGTGAAATGATAAATCGCCATTCTATCCTCAAAGAAGAAAGATCCGCCTCTTATCTAAACTTCCTTTCGATGACCGTACATCCCAGTAACTCGTGTGCGGAATATCACGTTATTGAGTAATTAATTTTAAATTACTATATATATATATATATATATATATATATATTCTTCTCATTTTTTCCTGCGACAATGATAAACTTTTGTAAATCAACAGATAATCCACGTGCCCAATCTGACGTCATAATAGTTACACCTATTTTTATTTTCCTTGAATTAATTTAATCGGATGATGAGCAACCCTGTAATTGTGAAAAAAAAAATTAGTGACTTTTTTTTATCAAAAAAAAAAAAAAAAAAAAAAAAAAACGAAAACATATTTTTCTGAAGATTTATACTCAACATTTACGCATCAATATTTGTATTAAAAAAAGAAGTTTTACGATTTCTAATTAAATGAATAATATATCTGCTTGTGAATAATGGTAGGGCGAATAGATTAAAACGAAAGGCAATGTTGAAACATTGACTATCACTTTTAAAGCATATACGCATTATGAAGAAAATACACACCTCGAATGAACTAAGGAAAATAACGACAAAACTATCGTTCGTATGTGTATATGATAATAATATTAATAATTGCTCGCGCACTTTACGGAGCTTTATTGTACATATTATTTTATGGAAAATCACACGGTCAGTTGCAAAAGTCAGATAATAAAAGTGACGGGAGACTCGAGGAAATATTATTGGATTTCATATGCAGTGTGTTACCGGGTGGGTAAATATGTATATATATTGAACGTGTGGCTACGCATTGCACCAACTCTCGACCCCTTCAACTTAAATAAGCTTCTCTCTCTTTTTTTTGTATTCCAGTTCAGTGCAGTTCCATCAATATTTAGATGTTTTAGAATTTTTCACAACTTTTCCATTCTTGGAAAATGATGTTAAAAAAATAAAAAATGCAACTCAATTTTCTCGACTGGGAAAATTTCTTTCACTTCTTTTTTACAAATATAAAAGAGAAGTAAAAAGACAGAATTAAAATAAAAGTTTCTAATTAGTTGTCCTATTTTCCGTCTGTCTTTTTTTCATCACAATTTTTCGTATATGATGTAAATAAAAGAGAGGTCTTCTTTAATTTTTCACAGCAATTTATAATTTTTGTCAGAAAATGGAATTGTTTTGTAAACAGATTCAGGGGAACCATTCTTGTTAGTCATCATTAAAATTAAACTGGACGTAAAATCAGTTTTAGCATCGAACATTTTGCAAGAATACAATTTAACTGTCCCTCCGCAAAAACTCCAGTTTCCGTTCAATTTATTTTAATGGTAAAAAAAAGTATTTGCTCAAATCTGTATTCCGCTTTTATGACAACAATAAAAACTGTCTTTAAAAATTAATTTTCATTATTGTACAAGAAACGTGGAAAAATGAACAAAAAATAGAAAAATAAAAGAAACTAAACCACACAATAGAAGCGAATTTCAGTTTCTTTTCAAAATAATCAGAGAATTTAATTTTTCAAAGAGCCTCATTAGAATGAAATTTTCTCAATTCCCCCTCCTCAATATAGAGAATAACTCATTAAAAAAGTTTATTTAGTTTCATGAAAAGAAAAATAAATAAAACATAAAAAAATGTCCTACTGCCTCGTTACGTAATTGCAGAAGGGAAAGAAAAAGTGTTTCTTAAATTCAAGGGGAAAGCAGGTGAGTCCATTCACCTTTACTCACTGATATACAATATAATTTTTCTTATGTAAATTATACCAGGAAGAATAAAACTTCCACAAAGAGAAAACGAATCGCGAACGTCAAGATAGACTATATAACTATAAAGATATTTTGGTAATTTAGAAGAGTTTTTTTTCCATATCGAAAGGTCAATAACACCGCGCTATATGTATAGCGTGATCACTAACACGAACATTCAAAACAACGCTGTAGTCTCTCTTGTAATCATTTGACCTACGAGAAGCTCGTGAATATCAAGAAAATAGCTTTTATGGGGAGAGAAAAAAATATTCTATTGCAAAGAATAAAAAATTTCCTTCCTCCTTTAGACCGTATTTTTCCACTTGAAAAATGGATATAACTAAATCAATACAATAAATGGATGACTATCAATATTTAATATTTAACTATCAATGTAAGAAATTAATAATAAAAAACTATCAATGTAATAAATGAAGGCCTCGGATCGAAAAAGTCCATTATTTAAATCAGTGTTGTCACCAAAATTTTATTTTGTATTTTCCTGACCTTTTACTGATTCCTAAATTCAGTTATTCAAAAATTTTAAAATTTTATTAAATAAAAATTTAAATGATTCTTATTTGTTTTCCATGGAAAATAGAATTAAAAAAATTTCAATTTAAAACCTCCTGAAATTTAATAATTTCTAAAAATTACAACTCCAAATTCAATTATTTTCTACAATTTTTAACTAAATTTCATCTCTAAATCTAAAATAGTTTTTAATAATAATTTTAAATAACTTTTCATTTAATTTTATTATAATAATAATTTTTAATAATTTTTCTACAATTGTTAACTAAACTTCGCATCTCTAAATCTAAAGTAATTTTTAATTTAATTTAATTTCATAATAATTTTTCTACAATTCTTAACTAAATTTTATCTCTAAATCGAAAATAATTTTCTGAAAGTTTTTTTTGAATTGAATTATTTAAATACAAAAATTCAATTTATTATAACAATTGTAACTTTAATTGTCCATGTTTTTTTGAAAGTTCTTAAGAAATAATATTTTCAAAAGAAAGAAAGAAAAAAAAAAGACATTTCTAAAAATAATTTTATAAAAGAGGCATTTCACGTCAGAAATATCACGATTTGCAAAGGGTCTGCCGATTTTCGCAAAACTTCGTGGGATTATAGTTTTATATATTAGACTTTTTAATATTAATTTTATAAAATTTTAAATATCTCGAAATATTGTTTATGGATTTTTATGAAATTTACACATTTTTCAGGTAAAAGTATGTACTTTAAAATGCAAATAAAGTTAAGGAAAAAAAATTAATTTTTAAATAAAAACATAAAAAAAAATTTTTTTAAACAATTTTTTGTTTATTTACTCCTCTCTGAGAAAAATGTTATTAACATATTTGGATTCCTTGTGAATTCACCTTTAATTTCATAAAAAAAATTGATGGAGACTCAACTGGTTCCGGAGATATTGAATTTTTTGTAAAAAATAGTCATAGTTACAGCAGCAATGCACGACTGCGGTAACGTACTACGCGACTTGTGCAGTATGGTGCTATGGCGCGGCGACGCTATTTTTACAAAAAATTCAATATCTCCGGAACCAGTTGAGTCTCCATCAATTTTTTTTAATGAAATTAAAGGTGAATTCACAAGGAATCCAAATATGTTAATAACATTTTTCTCAGAAAGGAGTAAATAAACAAAAAATTTAAAAAAAAATTTTTTTTTAATTTTTTTAATTAAAAATTAATTTTTTTTTATTAACTTTATTTGCATTTTAAAGTACATACTTTTACCTGAAAAATGTGTAAATTTCATAAAAATCCATAAACAATATTTCGAGAAATTCAAAATTTTATAAAATTAATATTAAAATTCAAAATGGCGTATCTTCAACAATTTTGAATTTTTTTTGAAAAAATTTGGGGGAAAGAAGTCTTTTATATAGAACTATAATCCCACGAAGTTTTGCAAAAATTGGCATACCCTTTACAAATCGTGATATTTCTGACGTGAAATGCCTCAAATAATTTTTTTTAAAGAATTTTAATAAAAAATGTTGAACAGAATTGATTTCTCCAAAATGTTAAAAATAATTCTAAACAATTTCAATGTTATAAATTTTTGTATGTATTTGAATTTTTGGAAATATTTAATTGATAATATTGAAAATAATTGAATTTTAACAAAAATTAGAATGTAAAAAATTCAAAGAATTACTTTTTTCAAAAATATTTTAATATAATTTTTATTAAAAGCTAATTTTGATTAATTTTCATTTGTAAATTTACACTTGAAGAATTTTCATGAAAATTTTTGAGAATTCAATTATTTTCAATTAAATTTTTACAAAATTTCAATTATTCAAAATCTTTTTAATTGTATATTTCGAAAATTTAATTGGAACAATTATTCAAAAATAATTTTTAAAAGATTTGTCTAAAGCTATTTTTCACGGTATAAAAATCAAAATAAGTTGCATTTTATATTAAAATTTTAGTATTTTGTTGCAATATTTGGAAAAAAAGTCGAAAAAGTCCGAGGCCTGTAAATAGATAACTAAATCAATATAATAAAAGTAACAAAGAATCACAAAACCAGAATTACTGAATTAGTATCATCCGAAATGAAAAAAAATACTTTCTCATAAAATAAAAAACGGTAGAGAAAAAATACAATATTCTTAGAATATTAATTTGACTCATAACAGGTTGAGAATTGTTCTACTGAAAAATATTTTTTAATAAAACTCGGGTATTGTATGAAAGGAAAAAAAAGAAATGCAACGGAATTCAAATTCATATCACGAATAAGTGATAAATTCTTGTCCTGGAGATATCTATATATACGTGTAGATAAAATAGAATCGAGCGAAAATAAAATAGGCCGAAGTGCATTAAAACTTGAAGTATCTATGATGAAAATCATAAAGGGCTACACGACTAACAAGCTAAAAAATTTTTGATATAACAGCAAATAAAAAGAATCTCGATTGCTGATTGGATGTATACACCTTTTGTTCGATAACACACCGATTATTGCTCCATGTTTGACAAGGAATTGGGTCGTTCGGTCGATCACGTCTATGTCACGGGTCAAAGTCTCATTATGTGTCTCTCTCTCCGATTCTAGTTTTACGTCGTTTAATTATTGAATAACCAAAGATAAAGTAAACAAGACTGGCGACCGTTTGTCTCGCAACTGATGTAATTTACGAGCGCGATATATAATCCATGCAACTGAAAAAGAACGAGATGAGTAAGTCTGCTTTTTATGCTTTCGAAAATTGGAAAAGGGAATTTTCTTCTTCTTCTCCTTCTCTTTGGTTTACGTACCAGAGCCACAATCAATGCTAGGTATAGGTGGCACACTGCTGTTGATGGACGCCTTGTTGAAGAGATAAATCGGATTTGTGTCCGTTCCAGCGGAATAAGAACAGACTCGGGCCTCTGATTCCAAGGATTCGCCACCGCTCATCAGGAGAACTTGGTCTTCCGTTAAGACGCCACATTCTCTCTCGATCGCCTCCTTCAGTTCAGATACACTGGAAAACAAAGAAAGTAACAAGAGTTGAAAGTTTAGATTTAGAAACGATTATAGGAGCGAGCGCTCTTGGCTATATATTATAAAGTCTTCGCTCTCACTCCCTGATCATTTTCCTTTAATGACCATCGCAAATATGTGTATACTACGCCTCATTTGATCGAGAAAGGAGAGAATTTCGAATAGAGAGATATAAAGACATGATTTGCATTGAGGTCTCCCTATAGGTGAGACGCACGACCTGCTTCTCACGAAGTTATAGTTCAAATCATTTTTTCGCATCTCTTTTAACATTTGAATAACCATATTATTTTCCTTGCAATGCTAACATATCCCCTTTCCTCTAATTAAGCATTTAAACCATTCTCACTTCTTTTCTTCGAATAAGTCAAACGAAATTGAAAACCTATCAAAAAGAGTAAGTAGCTGACCGAAATCGCTGCGGACTATTTTTTGATCACATTTATCCACCTTTCTAATCAATTATAAACAGAGAAGATTAAATTTTAGTTTATAGATAAAGAATTCTCCGCAACTACTCTACGTATAAAGGAAATATAAATCTAAGGCGGTAAAGAACTTTTCAGAAATCTCACAGCGAAAAAAATTCTAATTTTATTCCCCCGATAAACTCGCGGAGAAACTTTCACGCTGGGAATAAGGAGAAAATGAAAATTTGCTTTTCTGAAAATTAGAAAAACAAATTTTCCAACTGGTAAAAGATTTACAATAAGTTACTAGGCTTTTTCACGTTGGGAATGAGAAAATGAAAATTTGTTTTTAGAGAGAGAGAATTGGAAAAATGATTTTTTAAATTGTAGAAGATTTACAATAACTGACTGCTAGGCCAATGGCCTTATTAGATTGAAAAAAAGGAAAATTAATTTTGAAGCGATTCGAATTTTCAGAGATTACTCAACAACGAAAGATCCCAATTAAAAGCGCAAACGTCATACGATATTGCAGTGCATGTAAACTTAGCCCTTTCATTACAACATCAATTACGTATTGAATACTAAGGCCAACTATTCTTACAGAGAGGGTATAACCAGAAGTTGACATTAATTCAAACACCCACCAAGCTGTGTGTGCAATCGCCGTCGTCATATGACGTGGATGTCTCGGATAATAATGCAAAAAAAAATTGCATAAATATCATCGCCTACACTCAAAAAAATTGAAAAATCGCTCTTCTTGTATCGAGAAAAATGTTCCTTGTATATTTTCAATTTAAAGAAATACAAATAGAGACAAACTTTGACTTTAACTTACTAATCTTTGCAATTTATTTATCAATTTAATTATTAACAATTTTATTACTTTTTACAATTTATTGATTTTACCTTTACACTTTTATTATTTAAAATTGAAATATTGTCAACAGTATTTAACAAAAATGTATCAAAATATTGACTGTATATAAATAATTTTTCAATTAATATTTCTCTTCCTTTGATGTTCTACTTTTCGTTTCATATTTTTTTCATTTATTTTTCCATTTATTATTTAATTCAATAAAATAAATTTTTAGTTCAATTCCGAAATTTTATTTTTTTCTATTTGCTATTTAAGTTTTAGTTTCTATTTAATAAATAAATAAAGAAACGTTCGAATTTAAATTCCCGATGAATAATTTTGATAAACGAATTTTCCGGTCTACGCAAAAAATTTTAATTTAGCCGATAAAATATATTCAATGAAAATATATTTCCACATAAAAAAGATTCAATACTTCTTTTTCGTGATTAGTACAATGAGCAATAAACAGAAAATTATAAAAGTGAGAAATAAGATAAATAAGAAATTAAATAAATAAAAAATTAGATAACTAAGGAATTAAATAAATAAGAAATTAAGGCGGACTTCGAATGCATTTTTAATTATATCAAGACAATGATTTAAATCTTCCATAAAATTATTTTTATAGTAATCTTTTGAGAGGAAACCAATGGTCAAGATATTCAGACACTTTTTGGATTTTTATTTTTCTTAAAAATTAATAGATTTTAAAATCCATCCGTAATTTTTGTAGAGAAAATATGTTTTTGTATCTGCAAAAAAATTATTGAATAAAAAAATTAATTTTTACAATTTTTGAAGAATTTTTTTGAAAAAAGCATTGTCTTTAGGTTGAAAATGTTAAAAAATACCATTGTTATTTAATTTTTATGTGGAAATTTACTTATTTATTTTTCTAAGTAATTTTAAATCATAATTATTTTATTTTAAAAAATTATAATTTGAAATTAGTAAAAAAAAAAATAAACAAGTGAATTTTTAAATAAAAATATTGAATAACAATAATACAAATAATGTATTTTTTAGCATTTTCAACCTAAAATCAATGCTTTTAAAAAAAAAAAATGCTTCAAAAAGTTTTTATAAATTTTAAAATCTATGAATGTTTAAGAAAAATAAAATTCAAAAAGTGTGAGATTATTTTCTGACCATTGGTTTTCTCTAAAAAAATTACTGTAAAAATAATTTTATGGAAGATTTAAATCATTTTCTTGATATAGTTAAAAATGTAGTAGAAGTCTTCCCTTAAACAATTAAAAAATTAAATAAATAAGAAATTAAACAAATAAGAAATTCAATAAATGAGAAACTGAATAAATAAGAAACCGAATAAGTAAGAAACTGAATAAATAAAAAATTAAATAAATAAGAAATTCAATGAATAGAAAATAAAAAATTGAATAAACAAATAACTTTGATAAAAAATAAGTAAACAGTACTTTTAATGAATGGATAAAAAAATTCATTATTGAAGTGAACTGGAGTGCAATGGACTATTGCAAATTACCAAGAAGTGTGATAATTCGGAAAAAAATTTAGAATCTTTATTAATCACTTTTGTTTAATCATTATTTACGTATCTAGGGTCTCTAAATCCTTCTTTATCTTTAACATTATTGTTGACTTGAAATTATTAGTAAATACACTCGAATCCAAACAAGTATTTTATAGATAAGGTAGCATTCATATATATGATAAAGAAAAAAAATTATTTCAAAGAACCGAATGCATGTGCAAATTTTATTTTATCAAAACTAAATAATTATTGTAGTCATCGGCAAATATAAAAACAATTTGTAAAACAAGTCTAACAGCATTAAAAATACAAATAGATAACTTAAGCCATTATATGTTAATTATTAACCATTTATTTTATATGAATCATCATAAATAAATTTTGACTATTCAAGTTTAGGAAAAAATAAAAAAATACAATAAAAAAATATTTAAAAAAAATTCAAATAGGCTCTGTTTAAATGAAAAATATTACACAGTTATTATTGAATAATGTGAGTGAGAAAATGAGTGTAACCGCATATAGTATAATAATGAAAAACCTTACGTGAATTTAAAGATTAATGAAAGATCTGATAAAGCATATAATAATCCCCAATATTGTTGTACTGGGAAAGTTCAATGACCGCGTTAAACACCAAAGCAAAGGAAAAATTGCGATAAATGTCTATCTGGTTTACACAAATTAAGTCTGCAACTAGGACACGAGTTAACCGAGTTAACTATAGTCACCAGACCTCTACTCATATCAGAACCGATGTCAACCACTACTTAAGCTTCACTCTCCAAGAGATTGTAATTGATGTCTCGACCCCCAAGCTCGGAAGTTGTATACCAAAATAAATATATAAGATATTTTAAAAATGATAACAAAAAAATAAAGAGAATATTTCTTTCAGAGGGAAAATATTTTATAATACAAGTTAAGACTTTAGAGGGGGAGGGATTATGAGGAGAAGTCGTTCAAGTGCCAATCTTTAAATGAACCCCCCTTTTACTCTTCCCGATGAATCAAATTCTGTATATACCACCTTGGCTAATAATATCTCTTGCATCTAATACACTATTTTACACACTGCATGCCCTACATTCACAGGATTGCAGAGTGAACCCTGTTCACTCCCTCTCTGTCTCTGTCTCTCTGGGAAAAAGGCGACAGGCCAAGAAATTTGCACAGCTGTGCTTTGAGAGTGAAAAAAAACGATGAAATTTATGCAGTTTTAGTTGAAAAAATTTTCATTGAAACGAATTCAAGAATTCAAGTTGAGAATCTGTGAAAAATTGAGAAACAAACGAGAATTATTCCAAACACTTCAAGTTTCATGTACGTCACAATCTGATAAATAATCCAACTCCGCAGACATTGTGGCACTCAATTCAATGTACATTTATTTAATACTTTACATTAGCGAAAATGTTTTTTTTATTTTTTCTTTACTTAATATAAACTAATATAAATCGTTTATCATTTATTTATTTATTAATAGTTAATATAAGTAAATTATATTATTAATTGATTTTTTACTTATTTACTTAATATTTGCTTCAATTAGAGAAATTATATTATTGCCGTAAATACAATTTATTCGATTCAAATAACAATAATTGAACTTCAAATTTAAATTTAAATTAAAACTGAAATTTATTTTCAAGTTGAAACTTATTTGGCGATAATAGTCAAGTAATCGATTGTTTGATTAAAATAATCTTTTTCTACTCTTGTGTTCAGTTAAAATTTGCAAAATGTAATAAAAAATGACATTAAAATTATAACAGGGAGCACATGAACCTTTTTCACAGAAAAAAAGAGACGACAAAGGTGAATAATTTTCCAATAATAGGGGACGAAAGAATTACTGTACAATAAGTTATTGATACATAAAGGAGCATATATTTATATCTATTTTGATAAAACTGCTATTGATAAAAAATTAAAATGATTAAGATTACAATCAATCGACATTTGAATGAATTTAAATTTAGAAAATTTTTAATGTTATTAAAATAAAAGAAAAATGGTAAAAATTTCAATAAAATCATTTTTAATAAAACGAAAATAGAATAATTAATAAAATTAAAATATTAAATAACTGAAATAATATAATTTAAATAATAAATTTCTCACAATCAGGGTGGTCACAAGTGTCAGTTTATCAATTTCCCTGACAAAATTCTTTTTACAGGAAAATATAAAAGTTTACGGAAAATGAGCAAAATTTATGAATTTTAATGATTTCTAAAAATTACAATTATAACCGTTCCTGAAGTCAATAATTTTCTACATTTTTCAACTAAACTTCATTTCTAAATCAATTATTTTAAATAATTTTCCGAAAGTTCTTCTAGAATTAAATTATTTAAATATAAAAATTCAATTTTTTATAATAATGTTTTTTTCTTAAGTTATTAAGGTATAATATTTTCAAAAAATTATAATAAAGAAATTTTTACAATTAATTTTTTAAAAATATTTTTAAATAATTTTTAAAAAACAATAATTTTTTAATTATATGGGTACAATTGAAAAATTTCCAAAAAATTGAAATTTGGTAAAATCTTTTAAAAATAATTGAATTTTCGAAAACTATAAATAAAAAAAATCAAATTTTTAAAGAATTTTAATTATAAATATGACTATGATTTCTCCGAAATTTTAATAAGTCTAAAAAAGTAAATTTTTATTTACTTTTTTCAAAGACAATTGAATTTTAGAAAATTACGATAAAACAATTCAAAGAATTAATTTTTCAAAATATTTTAATATAATTTTTCGAAAATAATTGAATTTCTTAAAAGGAATTTTTGTATAATTTAAAAAAACTAATTAATTTTTTGATGAATTTTCATTAAAAATTTTGAACATGATTTTTTTTTCTAAAATGTTAAAAATAATTCTAAATTGTTATTATTTTTTGTATGTATTTGAATTTTCGGAAATATGTTATTGAAAATAGTAGAAATGTTGAATTTAAAAAAATTAGAAGCTAATTTTCATTAACTTTCATTTTTAAATTTACATTTAAAGATTTTTCATTAAAATTTTTGATAATTCAATTATTTTCAAAATTTGCAATTAAAATTCTTCAAAAGTTGATTTTCAAAAATTGTAATAATAATACTTAAAAAAACAATTATTTTCCATTAAATTTTGCAAAATATCGATTATTCAAAAATATTTTTATTGTAGTTGTATTTTAAAAATTTAATTATCTTAAAAAAATGATTCAAAAATAATTTTAAAAAGATTTTTTTATAGTTATTTTTCGCACTTATAAAAATCGAAATAAGTTGCAGTTTTTTTTTACTAAAAATGTTGGTATTTTGTTTACAATATTTGAAAGAACAGTTGAAAAAAAAGTTTCAATTTTCTTAATTTCCCTAACTTTACTGATAAAAATTTTGCTTTCGACATTTCCCTGACTTTACTGACGTGTGGCCACCCTGTAATTCTAAATTAAAGCAAAAGAAAAATTGGTATTAATTTCTATTTTGTTTACAGAAATTCAGTCTGTAAAATATAAAAAAGTATTTAATAGGTTGGAACTATTTTAATAAATAAATATAATGAACAAAATGTAAAGTTGTGAAAAAGTGTCAGTGTGATCCCTGTAATAACTAGAATTGCAAAAAAAAATAAAATAAAATAGTCTCGTTGGATTATTTACATTAAATGTGAATCTTCGATTTATAATTTCGTTCCTTCTTGAAAAAGAAATATAAATTTTCTTGCCATAAAAATTATCTTCTCTGGATGTGCTTAAATGGAAGGATTTCATAACAAATACCTGACTTTCCGAATTTTAGAATATCGATAAACCCATTGGCATTGATTTGACTGATTTCTCATATTCACCGAATTCTTCAATTTGTCCCGTATTTCTTATATACATAATGCGATGAATCTGTCGTTCAATGAATTTAATTAACGAAACCTGCTAAATTAACGAACATTAAAATAAATCCAAAGATTTCAAATTTAATGACTGAAAATTTGAGATGAAATATATGTATTAATAAAATTGTGAAAAATAAAAAAAGAAGAAGAGTAAATCTCACCTCTGTAGAGCAAGTTTGATGTCGAAGGTGATGGTGCTTCCGGTGTCCACGTAAAATATGTAAAGCATGTTGAAAAAATGATGTGAATGATGAAAAAAAGTGAAATTAATTTTTCAATCTCCTTCCCTCCTGAGGAATGACGTTCATCAATAAATTTCCAATTCCTTTTAGTCAGCTTGATTGGGGCCGTACCCCACGTTGTCTGGAACTTGCGAGGACGGCCCCAGAATGTCTACGATTCATTTATCAATAAGCGTTGTCGATAGACTCTTTCTCATCGAGAATTTCAAAGAGAACTCCTTGCTTATCACCCAAATCGCTTGACAATTTCATTCAGATAATGAATTTACAAAATATTGGTCTCAAATAAATTAATTCACGTTTCTATAATATTTAACGACTCGATGGAATTCACAGCTCATGGAATTTATATTGTAGAGAAATGAAAAACTTGTCTCAATTCTTGGAAATAATAACGAAGAAAAGCATTATACAGGTGAGATCATAAAAAATTCGATAAAAGGCTGTGTGTTGTCTTCTTCGTTGTCCAACAGTCAACTTTAGGAACGTTGAAACCAAGATTCTTTAGATTAAAAACGTATATTATTTATATTTATATATATATATTTAAAAAAACTTTTTCTTCTTCTTTTGACTAGAACGAGTCTAGATAATTTTCTTCTTGTTTTCACTCGTTAGCGATTTTTTTAAATTAAAAGTGCACCTTGGCGTGTCCTTGGTGGCATTAGGGAAAAATTAAATAATTAGCCTCACAAGGTCTCAGACTCAACAATTTCGAGGTAGCTTTCAGTCAGACGATGTACAAAAATCAGGCATTCCCCCATGTGTATAAAAAAGCATTCAATAAATAATAAGCGTTTTGTTTATTTTCTTGTTTGTGAAAATTAAATAGAGCTCTGCGGGGATCGTTGACACTGAGTTATATCACTGATTTTCTCAGGTATACATTGAAATCCCTCTTCTAACCTCCGACTTGTTACGATGTCACTTTTTGTGCTTCACCTATAAAGAACAAAGAATTTTTGTTTCCTTTTTTTTAAATTAAAAAATAAATAAATATATCACAGTCGTCGCTCGTTCAGCAATCGACCTGTCAAAAAGGAGAACGGCGTTGCTCGGAATCAGCTGCTCGCCAAAACAAAGCACTCGCGCACACCAAAATAAATAAATTAATAATAAGTTTACATCATCAGGAATAATGGTTGATGTACCAATTTTCCTTGTTGAATGTTTTCGTGAATTACCTGAGGATGTCCTGTATAAATCGTGTTTCGATCTCTCAAAAAAAACAGGGTCTTCGTTGAACCACAACAAACAATGCTGCGCCACTCGCTAACAACGAATGCGCGTACACTAAACAAAGAAGTTCACTTTCGCTCCAAGTTTTACTATTATTTAACGTTTAATTAATGATTTTGCACTTATTTAACTGTTTGGGAGTTTGGCACTTAGTATTTTATCTACTGTCCTTTAATTTAAATGTCCAATAACTGAAGAGAAAAAGTCAACTTTTTAATGCTCTTGCACCTTTCCCCCAGGAGCAACTAGCTCAGTAAACTCCCAATCAACATTTTGTTCTGACGCATCGCGACGCCAGCTGTTTACTGATGGTGGAGGAGTGTGAATCGAAACAAGCACGGAGGACAGAAGGTCTGATTCGCTGCTGCTCTCAAAGATATTTTACTTTGTTCCTCTCTCTCACTCTTGTGCGCACCACGTACTGCGCATTTGGTTGTTTAGTTGCCTCACGCGGGTTCATAAGGAGTCCAGGGCTGTATGTTTATATTTTCCTCCACAGTTTCCAACAAAAATCACACTATGAATATTATTTAATGTTACAGAACATGGTAAAAAACATATAAGATAATTCATTTTTTTTCCAGAATTGTTTCTTTCCAGTCAACTATCCAATTTTACAAAACTAACCTCAAAATCGAAATTTTGCAGTTTCTTTCAAAATCCATTGAAACCTCGTAAATTTATAACAAAAAATTAATTACCCGATAATATAATGTCACTTATTCATTTTTTGGGTAAATTAATTAGAAATTTCATAAAATAAATATTTACATGTAATAATATTTAATTTCTATTATTTACGTTGGTAAAATATTCTTTTTTCCTCTACGGTTGGTAGCATTGGTGGTTTTTGCAACCCCACTTGAAAACTGCCCCTGACTGAAGTTGTTTTTTGTTTATAAACCGTTGGAAAAATATTGAAAATGTTAGACGTTTATTTACAAGTGGAAGTGCAAATGTTTTATAAGTTTTTGAATCAAATTTTCATTGTTCAGTGTAATTTTTCATTCCGACAATCAGATGAATTAGAATTTATAATTTGATTTATTACATATGGTAATTTTAATTGATTTTGCAAAGATTTTCCGATTTCGAATCAGCATAACCTCAAAAAAAAAAAACGTTTTTTTATGAAGTGAATACAGATAGTATTTTTGCATAATAGAACGGTATGAATTATTGTCTCGTATAAAAACGTTTTTTAATAAAAAGCAATTTTTCGTCTTTTTCAAAAATTGACGGTAAACGGGTAAATTCGCCAAAATTTCATTGTTTTTTGGCGTCAAATACGAAAAAAATGTATCTAATCTTCATTACAGCACATGGATTTTCAATTGTTTTTTTATATTTAATAAGTTTAATTATATTTATAATAAAATAATTAAGTAGCAATTTATTAAAACATATTAATAAATGAATTTCTGAAAAAACTTTTCTAAATTTGATTTCTGTATATCAGTTTATGAAAATCAAGTTTAAAATTCTTTTTCAAAAAATAGATGTCTTGTTTTTATTTCAGATTGCTTCTTAATTTTCATATGATATAAAAAATAAAATTATTATTTTCTTTATTTTCAGGTTTTTAAAAGATTTCGTATATACAATATCGAGTGAGCAATCAAATAAAGTTTTTTCCCACGCAGTAATTATGTTATAATTTGGTTCGTTTGGTAAATAAAAGGTATGAATTTAATTTACTATCGTAGTATAATTATAAAAATATTTGTATTTATCTTAAATGAAAATATGAAAAATTGAACATGTTTCAGTGAAAAAAAATTTCTAATATGAAAGTTTGATATTTAAGAAACGTGAATTTTATAAATTTAAATAACCTATGAATCATTTTACAAAAGTTAATTAACTTTGTGCACACTCATGGCAGAAATAGAAATACAAAATTTTAAATATCATCTTATTTAAACACTCGCATTTCGAATGAAACACGCCTTTCGAGTGTTTTTAAATTTTCACAAATTTCTATTCATCGCCAGAAGAAAAATATTGATTTGATAGAAATAATTACGTATTTTCGAATATATTATCGAATAAATATTATTTGCAACAAGAATTTATTGTGTCAAACATTAATTGTTGGGAAAGGCAGAAATTATTTTTTCCAATTTGATATACAATTTGACTTGAAATTTGGTCAAAATAAATATTTTTCTTCGATTTGGTTGAAATAAATATTTATTTTCGTTTTGGTTGAAATAAATATTTATTTGGTTTGTTTCAAATAGATATTTATTTAATTTCATTCAAATAAATATTTATATGATTTCGTACAAAGAGATATTTACATATTTTATTTGGTGCAAATAAATAGTTTTTTAGATTTGGTTAAAATAAATATTGTTTATATTTAATTAAAATAAATATTTATTTGAGTTACAAAAAGAAATTATTTTCAAAGCTCAAATACAACTTTTGGTTTTCTTAAAAATCAATTGTTAATTTTCTTTTGTATATTTGATGCATATAAAATTTAGAAACGCTTTTAAATATTTTTTTTTTGCTCTTTTAAATTTTAATTTTCCGTCCATGGCAATATTTTGCATGGATTAAAAAGCTTTTGAGAACTAAGAGTTTTTATTTTCATGTCGTATTCTTCTTTTTAATTTTTTCCTTCTTCTCGTTCAGAACAAAAAAGACTTGAGACTTTGGTCAGTTTTCAAATAATTTTACGGCGAACACTATTTATAGGCAACAAAGAGTAAAGCTTATTTCAAGTGTTTCGAGAACAAATAATACTCCTGATCACCATTCGCTCTCCATTCTCGTCTTCCACTTTATACTTTCAGAGCTAAAACTCTTTATGTAGAATCGTTTAGTTACAGAGTTTAAATTTATCTTATTATTACAATATTTATTAATATTTTTTTCATTAAAAATATTTTATTATTATTAATATTATAATATTATACAAAGAAAAAAATTATTTGATTCAAATAACAGATTACTTGTCTATTATCAAATAAATATTTACTTGGAATAAAATAATTTTTATTTAAATCAAATAATTATTTCCATTTCTGTACCGTGAAAAATAACTATAGACAAATCTTTCAAAATTTATTTTTGAATAATTTTTCGAATTAAATTTTCGAAATTTGTAATTGAAAAGATTTTGAATAATAGGAATTTTATAAAATTTAATTGAGAATAATTTATTTTTTTTCAAGTATTTTATTACAATTTTTGAAAATCAACTTTCGATGAATTTTAATTGCAAATTTTGAAAATAATTGAATTCTCAAAATTTTAATGAAAAATCTTCAAGTATAAATTTACAAATGAAAATTAATGAAAATTAGCTTCTAAAAATTATATTACAAGTATTTTTGAAAAAAGTAATTTTTAGAATTTTTTTCATTCTAATTTTTTAATATTCAATTATTTTCAATTACAAAAAAAAAAAAAAATTTTCAAAAATTCAAATACATACAAAAAATAATAATATTACGATTTTTTAGAATTATTTTTAACAATTTGGAGAAAAAAATCATGTTCCAAATTTTTATTTAAAATGCTTTGAAAAATTAAATAGTTTTTTCTAAATTATACAAAAATTCTTTTAAGAAATTCAATTATTTTCGAAAAATTACATTACAATATTAGAAATGATTAAATTATAGAAGATAGGTTTTAAATTGAAATTTTTAAAATTTTATTTCCCGTGGAAAAACAAATAAGAAGTATTTTTAAATATTGGTTTAACAAAATTATTCAAGTTTTAAATAATTAAATTTAGAAATCAGTGAAAGGTCAGGGAAATAGAAAATAAATTTTTTGTGACAACATTGAATTAAATAAATTAATTTTTCGAGTTTTTCTGTATTTTTAATTGACGAAAGCGACTTTTTTGCGCCTTAAAATCCAAGACCTGTACAATAGATATTATTTTATTTATTTTAGAAATATATTTTTTGTCATTGTACTCATATATTTTTTCTGTTTTTATATATATAGAGGAAGGAGAATAATATTGAAAAGAATTTATTGTCGAGGGGTTATTTAGGAAGTATAGCCGTTCATGTGGGAGGAACTAGAGATACAAATCAGTTTTACGGAAAATCATACTATAGAAGAAAAGGTTCCAACTCTTTCGGGTATGAACACGCAAAGTCCTGTTCAGACACGCTTATGAATTGATAGCAAGTGTTGTACATGTGCCTCAAACTCTCTGGATTATTATTTCCTTCTTTTTTTCACATATAATATTTATGCGCATCATGCACGGTGCATAAATAAGTATATAAGTTACTCATTAAGATTTTTATCGAATATGAAATTAGCCATTGATAAGAATTCTTAACTAACACTTTCTTAACAACCCTCTCTTTTTATGATAAATGACTATTTATCATAATTAATCAGTCCTTAGTTGGAGTATTTCTATAATTGAAGTTTTGTTTTTCTCTTTGAATCATAAGAATATAGCTTCAATTAGTTTACAATTAGGAGGAAAAAACATGAATGTTGATTTTGATTCTTCTAATTTTTATTTCTTTTTTTTTAGTATTTTATTATTTTAGTTCTTTTAGATTTTCCTTTAAAATTATTGTGGTTTTTGTTTTTTTTACAATATTTATGACTTTGATGTAATATAATTTCTGTATAGGGGTTTTTTCTCCTTTTATTTATGGTTCGTAGATGGAAAAAAAGGTGATGGTGGTTTTGAACGCTTCACAGGAAATTAAATTTGGGGTTGAAAAGTTATTCGCATGAATAAAGGATTTCTAGGGTTTTGAATAATATTTGAAACTAAAGTTTATAAATTTTTCCGACAATTTGAATATATATAAATTTCTTTTTTAATTTATATTCATGCCGAAGGGTTTTTATCTGTATTTTTAGTATCTAGTTGCTTTGAAATACGCGTCGAGAGAAAAAATCGTTAAATGAAAAGTTTTTTTTAAAATCAAATTTCAGTAATTTAGTAATTTGTTTTCTACACAGACTTGAAATCTTTTTTCATTTTCTCTTCTTTTTTAATTTTGTTTTTCATTCTATTTTCTCTTTTACTCTCCGTTATTCTCTTTTATATATTCAATTTTTCACTCTCCATTAAATTCTTTTTTTCCTATTTGTTTTTCATTTTACATTTTTTTTATTTTTTATTTTTATTCATTAATTTTATATTTGCTTTTCGTTCTATTGTTTTTCAATTTTGTATTAAAATTGAATTCACTTTTTTCATTTTAGTTTCATTTTTTGTATTACTTTTTTATTATTTATTTTATTTACCATTTTAAATTTTTCGATTTAATTCCTTTTGGCTTGAATTAAAAGAATAAAAATAATAATACAAATAGTTGTTGAAAATTGTTTTCTTAAATTGTAGGAAATTCTCAAGTTTAGAGTATATATGTGAAGTTTATAATAATTAACTTGTTTTAAATTATGCAAGAGAATATATTAGAATTCTTTTTTTTTAAATGAAAATTGGTTTTATAGCGTTTATTATGTCCTAAACGTGTTAAACTCTTAAATGAGACACGTGTGTTGTCTTAATAATTATTCCCGTGTTCACTGACAGAAACTGTATTCATTTTTAGTGCAATTGTTTTCTTCCGCGTAGTGAATCTTGGCGAGAAGTTCTGTGCAAAGTACAGTAACATTAGCAAAATGAAGAAGTCATTCCACACGTAGCGATTATTATACAAAAAAATAGAAGAAAAAAATATTAATAATAATAATAAATTCTAGATTATCATTGAAAATTATTTATCTGGAAAATTTAATGAATCATTCTTTATTTTAAAATATTACATTTACTTTAAAATTTAAAATTACTAATTTATTTCCAATGTTGCAATTTTCAAGATAAATTTTCAACAATTTAATAAATAAATAGAAAATAAATTTTGAAACAAACAAAAGAAGAATAATTTCGAGAAAACAATTTTTAAAATATAAAGTATTGAAGAAATAGCAAAAATTCATTTGCATACATGATTTTCTTTTGAAATGTAAAGTGTACAAAGTACAATAATATTCTTTTTCCGCAATCATTACCAAATAAGAGTGTTATTGCATCAGTTTAGAAAGTATTAATTTAAATCTATAATCATTATCATGAAAAAACAAAAACAAAATACACATAAATGTTTGCATTTTTCCTTTTTTTCCATAATAACACATTAATAATAATTGAGGCCTTGGATCCAATAACTCGCCCGACGCTCGGAGGAACGCGCAACTGCCAGTCAGTGAGCAGTGAGCGCCTCTGGGCCACTCACTGCTACCCGGCTGGTATTAGCGCGTGCCTTCGAGCGTCGGGCGAGTTATTGGATCCAAGGCCTCAATTGCTGTGCGTTTTTAAGAAACTTCAAGTTCTCTCTCATTCTTTCTCTCTAAAATGGGTCAACGATCGATTCAAATTAAAATTTTTTTCCAAAGAATGAAATACTAAATGAGCTGTGTAGTGACTCAAAAACAAAATACATATATGCGTAGTAAATGTAAATTTTTATCTTTATTGTGAAAAAAATGTGAATTTAATAATTTTTTTTCGTGTATTATGGTTCTATAAATTTGTTTTTAAATTCTTATAGTCACATATTATGAATAAGAATCACTTTATTTACATTTCGGTTTATAAGACGTAAAATAAACTAAAATTGCGTCTGATATTGTGAACGTAAAATGCATTTCACATTGACAATACACATTAGA